TAAAAACTTGTAAAATTCAAGTATTCACAATATTTACATCATAAGAGTTTGATTGAATTCTGGAACTGATTCAATGTGAATAATGTGGATAATGTGAAGAAGAAAACCAAACAGAGCAAGCAAAGCTGATGAGGTATATAAAATAAAAATTGAACCCTTATATTTACACAGGAAAAGATGATCCAAGGAAACAAACATTTCATGATTACTTAAAACAATAACCTGCACTTTAGCTATTCTCTGGTATACATTTGATATGTATAAATAAATAATTAGACACATGGCAGTATTACAGGACACAGAATACAATGGGCATGTAGAACACATCCTCTGTTAAAGACAAAAAAGTCTGCTGGGACATGTGGAATATATCCCTACATGGGAGATAACAAATTTCTTGAAGCATGCAAAATTTGTATCTGTAAGAGAAGACAAATTTGTAGGAATGTATGGAACACATCCCTCTGTGTGTTAGAACGTGCAAAACACATTCTTCCATGAAAGCCAGTAATCTGTTAGGGTCATTTTTTGACAAATTATCAGACAGAAAATTTGCTGAACATGTCATTTTACACAAGAAGCTAAATTTATTGGGGCATTAAAACCTACTCCTCTGAAACAGAAAAACAATGTATCGCAGCATGGAACATACAGCATCGAACTCTATGCCAGAAAATATTTTGATGGGGAATGTACAGCACACACCTCCACGCCAAAGGGTTAATTAATTACTGAATTTGCAAAAATATAATGCATACTTTTTCCTTCAATTACCTCCACAGAAATAAAACTACGCATCACATTTCAGTAAGTTAAATTCTGTCAAAACAGAAGCAAACATGCTCAAATAATGAACAGTAATTTTTTTGAAAAGGAAATACTTGAGCATTACCTTGAGCAAATATGGTACAAGAATAATCATGTTACTGATACCATTTTCCCCAGCTATATCATTTCTTAGAACATTTGAAATTCCTATTTTTACACTAGTCATTTCCAGAGAAAGACAAAGGCTATCTATGAAAAAGAGTAAATAAAACTGCGAGGAGGAGGAATGTTGAGATGAGTCATAACACATTCTGACTACTCCGGACATATAAACACACTTTTTCAAATGAGGTATGAGGGAAGAATGTACATGTATTTGCACCACATACCACAGAAGGAGTGACCAACATGGAACTGCTTAGAGGTCCTTTTAGACAATTCTCCTTTCAAACAGCAAATTTTACCACCTTCAGCTGTCAGACAGAATGTGAAATTAGTCGTCAAACTGCTGAGAATTCCAATCCCACAGTAAGAATTTGATACTTAATGTGTCTCTCCCTTTTAGAAACCTAGAAATTAAAATATACAAAAATACAAAGACTTGGCACACTCATATTTTAAATAAGTCTGATGAAGGCATGACTATTAGCAGCTTTTCTTTGACAGCAACAGAAAACGCAGAATTTGTAATTATAAATCATTGGCACACTCACTTCGTCTGCACACATCTTCTGGTTTTCTGGCTTTTGTGCATTACAGAAATAAATACACCCTAACTATGGGTACATTTCATGTATCATTAAATGCACCCCAACTACAATAAATAATTTAGAAAAATACTGCATGTTATAAACAAGTAAATACCGTATATCCCTAGAGAGCAGAAATAGGAGAGAAAATTGTGTAGAGTTCAGTTAAGTGAGAGTTTGTTGTAAAAATATTTCCTCAACTAAATTGTACTGTTAAAGTTCAATGAAGGTATTACAACAACACAACTAACAATGTAGTAATTAATTAGGTAATTAAGAAGTTAAAAGAACATGGTTATGTTACGGACATCAAAGAAGAAAGCGACTTGAAGAAATCAGTCAGTCCAAAGAGTGGATAACATTGCAAGACTACATACAGCAAGTGTTGATAAACAGTCCAAAGAAATTTCTGTTCTGACTGTCAAAGATACTGAAATCAAAGCTGCTGTCTGCATATACCACCATCCATACAGACCTTGATCTTGCCCATACAAGATCCAAGGATCACACATACTGCATATATGTAAAGAATTACGGACAGGAGTCAAAGCCATTATTGGTATATAAGAAAAATGTTCACACGCGCGCATACACACTCCAACATCTTGCAGTTCCTGATCACGGCCTCTCCTATCCATCCACTGTTCTTGTTCCAGTCATTTCTCTGCTATTGCATTATGTAATTCCCTCATCCATGCACAGTAACTATCAGTCCTCCTTCTTCCCGCTTAGCGTCCACAAAAGCAAGTAATATTTGTCTGCCATTCTTCAGACTACTTGTTCTGTTCATACATCATCAAAATCAAGAAGTACATAAACCCATTTTTTCTCGTAAGATTTGAGGTTTTCACAGTCTCTCCCCTCAATACCTTACTGATCACCCCCAAGAATCTTTTCTGACTGCCAACTATGTTTTGTTTTCTTCTTTAAATGTCATGTTTTTTAATTAGCCATTTTTTCTCCATTTACTTAATTTTGTATTTTCTCTCCCCTCAATACCTTACTGATCACCCCCAAGAATCTTTTCTGACTGCCAACTATGTTTTGTTTTCTTCTTTAAATGTCATGTTTTTTAATTAGATAATGCCATTTCTTATTATTGCCTTGGAATCTACAGATGTGAGAGAATCCTCACCAGTAGATGGCTAGAACCTTCATGAAACAAGTTGTTTGAAGCAGCACAACATTCAAAACTAAATTACTGTACCTGTAAAAACTCTATCCCTGCCTCGAATTATTTGGTTTTTGCTTCGAACACTCACACAAAGGTGGATCATTGCAAACATTGTCACATTCATGATAATACTTTGAATAAGAAGTGGTATTTCATATCGTTTCCCAAACCTGTAAGAAGATTAAAAAATTAATTCATGTAATTATAGTATGTTCACCAGTTTTTCTTGAGCAGACTTGTCATTATATGGTCAATATGTGCAACAGAGATAAATAATCAGTATATTCAATTGAATAAACATTTCCTTGGATATTATCCATCGTCTAGTAAATATAAAACGTAAAACGACGTTTCGGAGATGGGACTCTATCTCTGTCTTCAGGTTCCTACACAGTTGGGCCCACTAGATAGAGCTAATCTCTATCTCCGAAACGTCGTTTTACGTTTTATATTTACTAGACGATGGATAATATCCAAGGAAATGTTTATTCAATTGCCTCTTCACCATCGTCAAGAAGATTTAGATTTGATAATCAGTATATTGGTTAGTTAGTTCAGTTTAGCAAAAACAGTAAACCCTAAATGTAACAGATTTTGGATTTAATGGATATCACCTCATACTGTCGAACATTTTCTGGTCACAGGGTATTGCAGGACATCTTTTGTTTTAATGGACTTTGTCCATCAAAACTGAAAATGTATGCTAATGACTGTTGGATTTCTTGCACTCAATTACCTCTTAAAGCCAAAGTGTTTTAACGAGCCTTGTGTCATTACAGGTGTCCAGTTCAAAAAAGGAATATTCTGTATCATGAACAAATAGACACATCCATTAACTGAAACCTTATGTGATTGAAGATTATTACGATTAAAGACAGGCATTCCTTACCAGAACAAAATCCTAAGTGTATTTGCAACAAGAAGGGAAAGACATACAAAAAGAGAAAATCCTTCTGTTTCTTCTGTCTTTTTTATTTCCCTGTACTGAGGAATATAAGGAACCATGCCACCAAATATCATGGCTCCAGAACTGATCCACGTGACCAACTTTGTCATTGATATGTCTGATAGTTCTTCTAGTAAGGAGTCCATTGCACATAACTATTCTGCTGTCACTGTTGCAAATACATAAGTAGTGAGTGTCCAATACAGCATGCTGTAGGATATTCTTGGAAAGAAAATCTGCAAAATCATAACATAAGAAAAGGTAGCAAATAATTTGAAAATGTTTTAATTTGTCTTTACAGTAAAGTGACCAGTTACATACACCTCTTTTCTTAACATAATGTTTGGATATGATTACACTGTTTATTAACAGATGTCTATAGTAGTACAGCAAAAGTTATTTTTGTTTGTATTTAAACGTATGTTCATATTTCTCTGACAAATTAAATAACAAATGGGGTTTGGTCACTTTAATTTTCTTTGCCTACAATAATGTTTATGTAGAAAGTTTAGGTGAATATTTGCCCTAATAAATGATGAAGCTGCAAATCAAGGAGAATGAGATGTGTGGGGGATTTAAGAACTGCATTCAAAATTTTGTTAAAAAGATCACCAAAACACCTAGGCACAGATGGGGCTCTCTTTGGCTGAAACTTTAACATTTTATCTAATATTTTCTTGTGCCCAAATTATATCCATATTATCATCCAAGTTTTCCAAAGCTACAAACCTGTTCTGAGATTTTGAACTGAAATTAAGTCTCCTCATATAAAATTTGTATTTTACTTTTGGCCTCTTTTGCAACCACAATTACTGGCCAGCATCACAGTCAGATCCTCTAAAAGAATGGACATACTTGACTGTCACAATTGCAGGCAAAACCTGAATTCTGTGACACGTTATGGTTGGGCAAAACAAAATGTTCTGGATGAGATCTACTATTTCAGTCAGAAAACAATAAAAAAAGCACTGACCCCAGACCTACACATTATTCAAAAATTAATTAATTAATCTTCTAGAAAACGAAATTACTTACGTACTTCTGCTGCAAAGCCTTTGTTTAATTTTCAGATATGACCCTGGTTAAAATCTTTACGACTACTGAAATCTTAACCTAAAAAAATAGCCTCCAAATATCATACAAAGACGACACTACTTTTCCTCACCTACAGGAAGATTTTTTTTGATACATAATTGCAATTACATCAAGCCCTTACTGAGCGATGTGGATCTGCAGTATCACACACCTTATCAGCACTTGAAACACCTAATTGCTTACATATACCTTTCCCCTCATTCTCATTTCCTCTCCCACCTAACTTTGACGACAGCTGACGAAGTGGTTGGTTTCGTCATTCGTTTGAAAATGTTTAAAGTGGAAGCAGCGATAAAGTTCATTATTATGAAAATCTATGGTGCAGAGTCCTTCTTCAGCATAAATAATATGCTACTGATACGCTGATACTACGTACAAGCTTGACCATTCAAAAACATCCCGACTTTAATGGAACAAGTAGTTTCATTTCCGTGTTCCCTAAGCCATATGAACCCAATCCACTTTAATATTCTTTCAAAAAAAAGTATGTGCTTTATCGTACCGAAACAGGAGTCTGGAATCCAGTCCTTTAATGTAATAATTTTTATATGCAGCGTAAATTGTACAACGTAACTGGATGTTATTAATACTTCATTGCCGTTAAATGCAGCATACTAATCGGATCTTTTTCATATTTAGGCGAAATTCGAAATTTCTTGACACAGAAAGGAGCTTGATAATGTAGAATTTGGAGTTGGGTGACGCAGCATCCTCCAGGGAGAGGGGCAAGCAACCCATTACACTGTTAAAACTATCATGTTATAAGATGTCACACAAGGCCTTGGATTTTGACGGATGTCATGATTTCATTGACAGGAAGTGAAAGGAGAATATTGGGAATTGCATAATAACAAGCTTTCTAATATGTAATTCACTAATTATTAGTAATTATTTACACTTCAGCACAACCAAAGATCTGGCCAACTCATGTCAGTCTGTCTAGAGGTCTAGGGCTCAGTCTGATAGCACAGATAATGTTCAGGTCCAGGTCTGGTTCAAATACGTAATAGCGGCCAAACATTACAAAGAACATTTTGTTCCTTCTTCTATTGTACAAGAAAAGTTATTCGTAGATGTACTCGTCTTATGCTTGTGACTCAGTTGGGCTCCATAAACAAATCCCACCACTGCCCCCTCCTAGAAATAGTTCAAGATAACACCTTCACAAACTTGGCATCCATATCTATGTAGCATTTCTCAAAAGACCAACATAACCTGAGATGTTTTTACAGTGCCATTAAAATAATTCGTTCAAGTATTACTGGCATTTATGAATTATAATAAACATGTATTAATTACATGATAGTCAGGGCAGATTGTGGTTCATTTGGGCTGGAATAAAAGAAAGTTAGGTTTAGGAGGGGGTATATGTAATATATTTGAAGATAATCTTGGGCAGTATTAAGTGAAATGGTTCTCAGGCTAAACCATTCTAAAACTTCAGCCCATGCAGATATCTGTGATAGCCCATGCCATCTTGCTCCCCACTCAACCTTTCCATCATCCCTTCCACTCTTTCTCTAACATAGCTCAAACTTGGAGATATTTTGTCTAGTATTCAAATGCGACAGGTGCTAAAATTCATGAGCTGGAATGATGAGGATGCCATTAACCATGATCCTCTGCACATTCATGATATCATCTGTCATGAAGGTCATCTCTGGTGACACACCTGCATAATGCTAAACCCTTACAGCCCCATTAGTATAGGGGTTTAAATAGCCTACCCTCTTAAGAGGTGCGATCGGAAAGTTTCAAGACTGCGCCTATAAAAACCCGTACACTTATCTCAGGTATTAAATTCATCCATCACCCTCGGAGTAGTTCCCCGGATAAGGAGGGTGCGGGATGACGGCCATGGTGTTTGAGGCCAAAAACTGCCGAACTTTGAGGGCGGTGTGCGCTGGCGCGTTGTCATGATGCAGCAGCCAGTTGTGGTTGCGCCACTTTGCCAGCCGCTTCCGTCTCACATCTTCACGCAACAATGTCGCACAAGTCGTTGATGGTACGACGTCGATCTTCGTGAATGGCCTGCCGAATCTTCGTAACATTTTCGGGCGTTGTGCTCGAAGATGGTCGTCCAGAACGCTCGTCATCATCGACAGAGGTTCGGCCATTTTTAAAACATGAATGCCACACAAAAGTTTGTGCACGACCCATTGCGGACTCCCCAAATGCTTGCTTTAGCATTTCACAGGTTTCCGTAGCCGTTTTGGCGAGTCTTTGGCAAAATTTGATTTGTTCGTAAAAATCCGCCATTCCAAAATCGCAGGACGGTCGGTGTAATGCACTACCAAAATGCCCGTAACTAAGAAACAAATGCTAATTCGATGATGCCGGCTGGCACACTGATTCACTATGAATGTAGGCCTCACCCCCTAAAGGCAGAAGCTCGTACTACATCCGGTTCGCCCTCTATTGACAGTCTGGAAACATTCCGATCGCACCTTGTATGATAAAAAGATAAAAGATCTTTGGGATGAAGCAAAGTCCACACATTCTACACCTTCGAAATGGATGCAGATTAGTGATTATCTTTATCTCCAGCTACTATACACACACAGACTAAAAGCATGCATTACCAATTGGCCAGGAGAATGTGTGCGCTCCAAGGAAAGTTTGAATGTGGTGGTACAAGAATAATCCCGTAGGATTTTAGGTTTTCACAGCGGTGAGTATGAAGATTTCCGTCTTCTGGGTTGTTGCGCTGTGTAGTCTGGTAGAAGTTTACCAAAGTTTCAGAGGTCATATTGCCTCCGTCATCAGGGCGATTCTTAGTATGAAGATTTCCATCTTCTGGGTTGTTGCGCCGTGTAGTCTCTAGCATTTGAACTCAAACCTGAGTCTCAAAATTCAAATTACGCTGAAACCTTGAATGTTAGTCACTCAGGTCATTTAGTTCTTACCCTGTGGTAGGTCTGCATCTGAACTTGTCGGGGAACATATTTTTTTACTCATTGTGATAGCCAGATGTTATGAATGTGCTACTTCATTTAGATTCTGGCTAGTTGTACAAAGCTAATTTTCTAGTTTGGCCTGGAGTTTGACACACATCAACTGGACTGTTTAATAATATAAGGATATTTATTAGGTTCAAGAGTGTTATGTCTTGGAAGCTGTGTCGCTGGTGGCCACAATCGGGAAATGCGGTGATTAACAGCTGGGGTGAGTAGTGTCTATTGTCTGTTGGTTGGTGACGAGTTAGGAGTTGGTCCTGGTTCGGACATTGTATACTTAATATTCTGTAATTATATTAGTAGCGTAGCAAAAGGTGTTTTATTGTAGGGTCAAAAGTACCACTCTGCCACCCAGTGGCGCCCATCCTATCAGTCCTACAGAGAGGGCATAACAATACATTACATGATCAGTGATGATGAGATCACTCGACTTAGTGAATCCACACATCACAAATGTGGATCCTGTCCATGAAATAAGCTTTGATGTGTCTTCAGACGACCTCTCTGAATGAATGATTTATTACACACATGAGATGAATATGGACGCTATATACTGTGCACCTGTATATGTTTCTTAAAGTCCCCCTTTGTGTTGAATGAGTTACCGCAAACATCACACAAATATGGCCATTCGCCACTATGAATGCGATGTCTCTTCAGATTACTCCTCCGACTGAATCATTTATTACACACATCGCAGTCACATGGACGCTCACCACTATGTGTGGACAGATGTCTCTTCCGACTAAATGATTTATTGCACACAGGACAGGAATATCGACGTTCTCCTGTATGTATGCTTTGATGCTTCTTCAATGTCTGCCTTGTACGAAACGATTTATTACAAACATCACAGGTATAAGGACGCTCGCCACTGTGTGTGCGTTGATGTTCTTTGAGTCTGTCCTCTCTACTAAACGATTTATTACAAACATCACAGGTATAAGGACGCTCGCCACTGTGTGTGCGTTGATGTTCTTTGAGTCTGTCCTCTCTACTAAACGATTTATTACAAACATCACAGGTATAAGGGCGCTTGCCACTATGTGTGCGTTGATGTACCTTGAGTTTGTCCTTTCTACTGAATGATTTATTACACACAGCACAAGCGTATGGACACTCACCACTATGTATGGACCGATGTGCCTTGAGATTACACTTCTGATTAAATGATTTATTACACACATCACAGGCGTATCGACGATCTCCTGTATGTATGCTTTGATGCTTCTTCAATGTCTGCCTTGTACTGAACGATTTATTACAAACATCACAGGTATAAGGATGCTCGCCACTATGTGTGCGTTGATGTTCCTTGAGTCTGTCCTCTCTACTAAACGATTTATTACAAACATCACAGGTATAAGGATGCTCGCCACTATGTGTGCGTTGATGTTCCTTGAGTCTGTCCTCTCTACTAAACGATTTATTACAAACATCACAGGTATAAGGATGCTCGCCACTATGTGTGCGTTGATGTTCCTTGAGTCTGTCCTCTCTACTAAACGATTTATTACAAACATCACAGGTATAAGGATGCTCGCCACTATGTGTGCGTTGATGTTCCTTGAGTCTGTCCTCTCTACTAAACGATTTATTACAAACATCACAGGTATAAGGATGCTCGCCACTATGTGTGCGTTGATGTTCCTTGAGTCTGTCCTCTCTACTAAACGATTTATTACAAACATCACAGGTATAAGGGCACTCGCCACTATGTATGGACCAATGTGCCTTGAGATAACGCTTCTGATTAAATGATTTATTACAAACATCACAGGCATATCGACGATCTCCTGTATGTATGCTTTGATGCCTCTTCAATGTCTGCCTTGTACTAAACGATTTATTACAAACATCACAGGTATAAGGGCACTCGCCACTATGTATGGACCAATGTGCCTTGAGATAACGCTTCTGATTAAATGATTTATTACAAACATCACAGGCGTATCGACGATCTCCTGTATGTATGCTTTGATGCTTCTTCAATGTCTGCCTTGTACGAAACGATTTATTACAAACATCACAGGTATAAGGACGCTCACCACTGTGTGTGCGTTGATGTGTCTTGAGACTGTCCTCTCTACTAAATGATTCATTACACACATCACAGGCATATTGACATTCTCCTGTATGTATACTTTGATAGTTCTTTACAGTATTCTGTCTGAGTGCTTTATTGTAGATATCACAGGAATGTCGATGATCCTCACCCTGCATAAGTTGATGTTCATTCACTGGACTCTGTTAAAAAAAAAAAATATATATTAAAATAAACAAATGAAGGCAAGAAATAAGTTGAATGTAAGGCGTCAAATGTCAATCAGTATTACATAAAACCAGACCCAATACACGACCATAATTTATTGGAAGGTCTGGTATATAATCCAAAAATCATGTAACCTCCTCGAAAACAGGTTTAAAACAGCTCAGTCAGTATGGGATGTGACGACAGTCTCCAGCATTTGAACACAAACCTGAGTCTCAAAATTCAAATTATGCTGAAACCTTGAATGTTAGTCACTCAGGTCATTTAGTTCTTACCCTGTGGTTGGTCTGCATCTGAACTTGTTGGGGAACATATTTTTTAGCCAGATGTTATGAATGTGCTACTTCATTTAGATTCTGGCTAGTTGTACAAAGCTAATTTTCTAGTCTGGCCTGGAGTTTGACACACATCAACTTGATTGTTTAATAATGTCGCATATGGACCCTCTTGCCATATATCAACCCTTCATACATGTAATTGTGTATGTCTGTATGTAGTGTTTGTTATTTTTAGTTATAATTAATAGATACCTGTAATCGTCAACATATTGTAAGGGTCAGTAAGCTACAGATGCTACAAGCCAGACTGTGGAGATATTGAACCATAAAAATGATAAGAAGATTGCTATACAAAAATCCGATTATACTAATACCCCATGCATCTCTAAGTAAGTGTGTCACCCTATGGTAAACCCCCGCACCTGTTGATGAGTCTTTGCCCCTCTGGCACACGACACACTTTTAATCCCCTTTATAAACCACTGTCTGTAAGCACCACGCGGACTACACCGGAATTCACCACCGAACGTTGCGTTCTACTCTGCATCACGCCTAATAGTTTACTGATCTGAGCTATAAACTGGTGTAACTTTGTTTCAATAAACAACAATATATCTACCGAGTTGCTACAAGTGAGCTTGAATTTCAATTCTTAAGTGTCCAACGCACCCAATCAACAGACTTCCGCTCGGTCTATGCTCCTGTATCCCATCACCATCCTTCGGGATACAACAATAATATAAGGATATTTATTAGGTTCAAGACTGTTATGTCTTGGAAGGAAAGAATAGCATAAAATCACTTAAGCCAAGTGTACTCCAAAGAATCTCTCATTCCATAACTTCCAAACTCATGGCTTTTTCACCAAGACATGCACGTTGCTAGAAAAACTAATGAAAATTCATTACACTATACTCACCTCATTTTCAGCCTTTATTATTGGACGCGTTATTTCCACAGGTTCCTCTTCCACTTTTATTTCTGTCACACATTCATCTTTTACTTTGATGAGCTGACTTCCATCATGAGGAGAAATCAGACATGTTTCACTGAACGAATCTGATAAAACTTCAAACTTGTTGCCGTTCTGTAAAACCACCATCATACATATTAAGTATCTAAATTTTATCACAAGGAAATGTTTGGGTATGTGGATAAACCATTAAAGAACAAAAGTTCATAATAAAATGATAACCAGAATATACACAGGAGACAAAGCAAAATACTGGAATATGTTATTCACTGCTCTATAAGAACACAAGAAATTCAGTGAAAACTTCTTGAGAAGCTTAATAGTTGCTTAGCTGACCAAGAAATCACCCTGATGATGGAACAAGTAAGCAGCTATGAAACATCAGTCACTTTTTTTAGGTTACATGGCACAGAAGCCCAGAGAAAGGTTATATTTCATCTTTATGGTTTCAGAAACTTGGAGGGAAGAATAAAGTTTTCCGAACTGAAAGGTAGCAAGAATTCCTCAAATTGAATCTGCTCTTCATTCCTCAGAAAAGAAACACAAGCCAACCTGAGCCCCTGCCCATGCGTCTATGTATATACACTCACATGAAAATCAATCACAAATATTACCTGGAACAAAAAGCTTACCCTGGGTTCAGCCTTCATTATGGAAAATGCTGATGGTATGTAAACCTTATCAGTTTGCAGGCCAGTGAAATGTTCTTCATTCAAAACATCCTCATCATTTTCTGCTGAGATGATATCAACATTCTGCAATAAAAACATAAATTACACATAACTCATTCAGACGATAGTTCTTAAGAATTAAATTCATGTGCAAAAAAGGAGATAGTATCCAGAATACAAGATTCCACATTGGAACTTCTGAAATTCTGATACCGTAAATGCAGGGATTCAGAAATGGAATACAGGTTGCCCTCAAACTGACAAAATATTTTCAGGATAAACAGCTATGTCACAAGTCCTTTTCACAACAAAGCTACTGAGACAAAAGAATCTGTGGCTATATTGAATGCTGTAAGAAAATAAATTAACTTCATTTGCTGAAGCAAGGACTTTACAAGTAACCTACGGCTATAAAGCCAAGATACACGGCTTGTTAAGCAAATGCCCCACATTAAGTCCTGATGCTTAGAGCCCTTTTATTCTGTTGTTACATTTTTTAAGTAAGTTTTATGGTTGGTTGGTGAAGCACATCCTTTTCTACATCTGTTGAAGGACCAAATTATTCAATGGCTAATACAAAATATCTACTCTAATCTGACACATATTACTGTCTTCCTCTCATCACCTAGTAAGGGCAAGATAATGGATAATACATAAACACTATTCAATTTGGCTATGCAACGTGATCCCGTACTGACGATTCGGTGACTGCAGGAGCATAAGAGATCAAAATTATTAAGCTGCAAAATTGTTGTTTCTTTATACCTACCGCATGCAAATGAAAGCATTGCAAACTCTCAAAACTGGATGTCATACTAAGACCGACTTATACCGTAATAATGCAAGCACATACGTGCATGTAAGCGCATACGCAAATACGAAACATAAAAAATCAGGTGAAAAGAAAGTATACCTTGGATTCAGTCTTCAGTGTGGAACATGATGATGGCACGTAAATCTCATCAGGTATCAAGCCAGTGGAATCATCTTCACCAAGAACATCCACATCATCTTCTGTTTTGATTGTGTCAACATTCTGCAAAAAAATTATCAATTAAACATGATTTCAGATAATACAGTTCACATGTTCTAAAGACATGCAGCAAACAGACTGTCTGTAAAAAGCGGATTCCTCGCTGCTACTTTTAAAGGGAATGCCCTCAAACTAACATCAATTCTTTTCAGGCTAAATTCTATCTCACTATTATTTCAAATATTAAAAATTCTGAAACTTCAAACATTTTGGCCATATTGTGTGCTGCAAGAAACCTCTTTAACCTTGTGTTGTTGCAGCAAGAAATTGAAAAAAAATCTTATTGTACTAAAGGCAAAGTACACAGCCTGCTAAGAAAGTAACCCACATATACAGCTCTTTAAGAATTACATTTCTTAAGTAAGCTTCATGGTTGGTCAATTAAGCATTTTATATAAGATACTAATTCGTTTCAACCTGACACAGTTAAATGTATTTTTGTCCTGTTCTGAATATTAGAGAAATATGACAAATTCTACTTAATAATTACAATATGGAATTTCTTAATGTTCCTGTGAGTTAGTTTCACCTATTGTAATGGAAAAACATATTAAGCTATGAATATGTGAACATCGTCAGAGTGATAGATGCATGAAAAGACAGTTATAAGGGCTCAGTGAAATTTATTACTTGAAATTCACAATATGAATACTCTAAACCCTTCTAATGTACAAATGTTCCTGTAGACTTAAAGAGATAGAAATTAAAAAATAACACATTCTTCTCACAAAATAATTAGCTTTCTGGTCATGTAAAATCAGTGAGTGAGTTAGATATTTTGAAGTTCTCACAGCAACGAGTATTTACACGGCTGTCTTCTGGGCTGTAGTGCCATCCAGTCTGGAAGAAGTTTACTAATGTTTCAGAGATACTTGCTCCCTATATCACCATTGCCCTCATAATGGATTCAGCAAGTCCTCTGAAATGTTAGTACACTTCTACCAGACTACACAGTGCTACAACACATTACATTAATTTTCATAAATACACACTTACCAAGTACTCCTTCAGAGATGGAATTGTTTCACATCTCTGCAGTATAATTTTCGGTATTCTTGTTAGAAGAGACTGCTCTTTTTTGTGAGAGTTTGACACTAGTTTGTCACACATCATGTTTCGTGGCTTCTGTATTAAAGTGGGTTGCAAGTAACCTACAGATATAAATTCATAGTTCAGTTAATTGTATCTAACCTCGAATATCTCTCCATGTTCTGAAAGGAAACATACTGACTACAGGAGGTGTTTCAAGTTACAAAGTTTAGTGGTAAAATGCATTTATATATAATAGGCATTCACCCTTCATTCAGACATATTGCAACTTCAATAACTTGACCCTAGACCATCACTTATCATACTTCTTTAATAATACAACAGAGACTGACAAGTTTAATGAATGGGGAAAAAAAGACATAATTTATTAAAATATAAGTGACATATCAGAACAATCATGCCTGAAAAGGAATGTTCAAAAGTTTACAAAATCACAATGAGAAGTGACAGAAAATATGATCTAAGGCGACCAAACTGCAGAATAATAAGATTAGTAACATCACACACTCCAAAGGCTCCTGACATTTTCTTGTCAAAACATAGAAACAGTAAAAGAGATATTTCAGTTATTTGAAGGCTGTACTAATGCATGTGCAGAAGTGGAAAAGTAACAATGAACAATATGACATCTTATCATCTGAAAACTTGTCAATCTAGACAGAACAGGAAACACTAAGGGAACAATACACTTCATCACAAACTTTCATAAATAAAGTAATGTCTTAATTTTCTGGATACTGCTGATAAAAAATTACCCCTCTAATAACACTTTTCATATTTATATATTACCCTGATGCATGCTTAACATTAGTCTGGGAGAAAAGTAATCAAAGCAGTCGCAACTAATGTGCCAACCCACAGCACTCACTTTCACAAGACCCATCCCAATACAACTTAAAGGACATATCTCTGACTAGTTTTGCTAATTATCTCTTCCTTTCAAATTTTATAACTACAATAATCTGTGAATTTATATATTCCCCTATCTGTGATACATGACATGTTCAACAAAGTAACATTTGATGAACGGAATGAAATAAGGTGATAGACAATGAGTAATATCCAAATAAAATAATATAAAGTTCACATTATGCAATTTGCTCCAACCTCCTGTTACCATCTGACATTCAGGAGTTTGTTCTCAAACACTCTGACACACAGTAGCAAAAATGTCATCAAGAACGTGTTTAATCACCTGTACCACTCCACAGCATCATAACCTAAAAAACCAAGTCAACACTATGATTCCAATTTCTTCCCATAGGGTGAGAGTCAAAGACACATTCACATAAAACAAAACAAATAACAGTATTTTTATATTTTAACCCTTATGATTTTACACACATATCAGCAAGATTAAACATTCTTAACTACATTGTAGAGAGCTAAAACTTCCCACAGAAGTTTGTATGTTATATAATAGCTGAGAATTTTTGTTAAATTATTCAATACAGTAATAGTGAGATAGGAGAATCTGTTAGTGCTTGCTTGCTTAAACTTCTTTATATTGCAATCCTGACTATTTTATAATGGGAGGAAGATTTCTGCATAGCTTAATTACAGCACAGTAAACGTCTTGCTCATATTTACTGAGATTAGTGTTTGGCACATGAAGGTTATAATTCTATCTTGTACTTACATCAGGAAACGTAAGAACACACATAAAAAACGGAATCTAGGGGAATAAACATAGTAATTTGGGCATTCATATGCTATAATGAATACATTCAATGGCATTAAGATAATCACAAAAAAGCCAGGTTACAGCAGTATTGTTATTGAATGTCTGTCGTATTTGAAATGAAAACTATCAAACATTTAGAACCAGTCGAATTACCTTAATCAGTTTCGAACAACACACAGAAAACCAAATTAATTTATTCACTTTATCCTGATCCTCCCACTGTAATTCACGCATATACAGTAGGGCCCCGCTTTTCGGCGCTCCGCTTTACGGCGATTCGCTAATACGGCGCTCAACAGCTGAGTCAGAGAAGTGCATCCGGCGCCATTTTATCGTCGCTGATTCAGTCTGTTTACAGCTTTTGTGCGCTCCGCGTCTCCGTATTTCTGGCAATTTTTCAAAGTTATTACAAACTGTATATTTATATAATATTTTTGTGTTACTACAGTGTAATTACAAAGACGTCTAAGGGTAGTAGCGATAAAAAGAGGAGTCATAAGCCTCTTACTTTAAATGCCAAGTTAGATATAATTAAACTTCGTGGACAAGGCATGTCTATGGCTGAGATAGGACGTAAGCTAATTCTAGCTCTCCAAACTGTTAGTACCATCGTGAACACTAAGGAGAAAGTGTTAAATGAAATTAAAAGTGCCACACGAATGAACTCTAAAGTCATAAGAAAGAGAGATAGCCTTATTGCTGACATGGAAAAACTTTTAGTTGTGTGGATTGAAGATCAAACGCGCCACAATGTGTGTACTACTGATATTCATTTTACTTTCATATCGTTTTCTTAGGCCTAGCGCTATTGTGCACTTACTATATGATAGTGTAAACATCTTATTAGGCTTTGATATGCATTTGCAAGTGAAAAAAGGCAAAGATCCGCTTTACGGCGAGTTTCGCTTTACGGCGGGGGTCTGGCCCCTAACCTGCCGTATAAGCGGTGCCCTACTGTAATGTACAGTTTGTTGCAATGCCACCGATCTGCTTCTGTCTATAGTGCAAGTTGTACGAGTCACAGAAAATATTTCTATTTTATTTCTAATGCTATTCTACCTTCATACAAGCTGATCTGGATGAAAGATGAGTAAGGTGCTTTTCTCTTAATTATCTTGAATCCAACAGAGCGCTATTTAAAGTTACCACCGAACTAGACGCGTTTCCTTTGGCGGGAACGTGATTGTAAACTACAACAGAAACCTTGGGCATAGTACGCGACTGTAATCTTGGAATTGCAAGGAAAGCAAGAAGTACGAAACGTTAAAGGCTGACGCTGTCTCACCTCCTTCGCCCCACTCCAATAGCCATGAACTCGAAAGATTACTGTCTTACATTTGTAAACAATATTACCACAATACAAGAAAGACTGATAATACCGAGGAGGGCCTCCAGATAACCGACAATAAGCGTTGGACTAATTGATGTGACTATGAGAACCGTAACCTTTCGGTGTTCACGGTTCATATAAATATCCTCTGGGGTATTTTTGTCCGTCAGGTTTCGCAGCTGGGGTACATTATATATGCTCGTCTTTCGACGCAGCTCACACACGAACGTTATACCCTATGGCGAAATCCAACAGACAGAATAGAGTGTTAATATTTTCTATGAGAAAGATAAATAAAGTTTCTTTGACTTGCAAGGAATGCAAGAAGTCCGAAGCGTTAAAGGCTGACGCTATCTCTCCTCCAACCCACTTCCAAAAACCCTCAAATGGAAAGATTGGTCTTACATTTGTAAACAATATTACCACAAAACAAGAAAGACTGATAATACCGAGGATCTCCAGAGAACAACCGTTGGACTAAAAGGATGTAGCTACGAGCAGACACACTGTTTGTGGTCACGGTTTCTATAAATATCCTCTGGAGAATTTTTGTCCGTCAAATTTCGCGGCTGGGGTACAATATATACCTTCGTCTTTCGATTCCGCTCACACCCGAACGTTATACCCTTTGGGAAATCCAACAGAAAGCATAGAGTGTTAGTATTTTCTGTGACAAAGATACATTAGGATTCTAAGAAAATGGTTTAAGAAGGTTAATATACTTCTCCTTGCAAGTAAATTCGTGCATGCAACACTGTCTTACGTTTTGAACATATGGTCAAGGCATTGTAATGGGTTGTAGCCCTGCATAGCCTGGCACAATTTTACGAACGTTTCCGTGGTCCTTGCTGCCTCCATCATCACGGCGATGAGAATATATGGAGATGTTATGAACATAAGGCCCACAAATGACTTTCATATGTGAAATACAAAACTGTTGTTACCAGAACTGTGCTTACCTAAAATATATAAAATCATGCACACAAACAATTTGCATCACTTTGATGTATGTTTCTCTGAAATGTTAACCTATAGAAATCCACACAGCATTACAACCCAGAAGACAAACATCAACATTTTCACCAGTGGGAGAAACTGAAGTCCCATTATTTACATTATCTTTCACCTGATAAACCTAACTCTTTATGGGCATACAGATTTACATATGTTATATATATCAGCTGTGATACTTTCATAGTTTCAAAGAACACCTGCAAATGTGTGCAGTAAACAGTTCTTTCTCTCAAATAAGGAAGAGTGGATAGAAAAATCTTCAAACCATACACTATGCCTTTATTTCTCTCTTGCACAGTTGTTTACATCAGTCCTGTATTTGTCAAAGTACACCTGGGGCCTGGGTGCAGTGCTGTCATGCATGTAGATAAAGTACAGTCATAAATTTAAAATTCGGGCTCCATGAGATTTCAAGTTGTCATTTAAGATTCAATTGACTGAAATACTGTAGCATTCCTATATCAAGATTTCTGTCTTCTGGGTTGTTGCGCTGTGTAGACTGGTCGATGTTAACCAACGTTTCAGAGGTCATACTACCTCCATCATCAGGGTGATGAGTATGAAGATTTCTGTCTTCTGGGTTGTTGCGCTGTGTAGACTGGTCGATGTTAACCAACGTTTCAGAGGTCATACTACCTCCATCATCAGGGTGATGAGTATGAAGATTTCTGTCTTCTGGGTTGTTGCGCTGTGTAGACTGGTCGATGTTAACCAACGTTTCAGAGGTCATACTACCTCCATCATCAGGGTGATGAGTATGAAGATTTCTGTCTTCTGGGTTGTTGCGCTGTGTAGACTGGTCGATGTTAACCAACGTTTCAGAGGTCATACTACCTCCATCATCAGGGTGATGAGTATGAAGATTTCTGTCTTCTGGGTTGTTGCGCTGTGTAGACTGGTCGATGTTAACCAACGTTTCAGAGGTCATACTACCTCCATCATCAGGGTGATGAGTATGAAGATTTCTGTCTTCTGGGTTGTTGCGCTGTGTAGACTGGTCGATGTTAACCAACGTTTCAGAGGTCATACTACCTCCATCATCAGGGTGATGAGTATGAAGATTTCTGTCTTCTGGGTTGTTGCGCTGTGTAGACTGGTCGATGTTAACCAACGTTTCAGAGGTCATACTACCTCCATCATCAGGGTGATGAGTATGAAGATTTCTGTCTTCTGGGTTGTTGCGCTGTGTAGACTGGTCGATGTTAACCAACGTTTCAGAGGTCATACTACCTCCATCATCAGGGTGATGAGTATGAAGATTTCTGTCTTCTGGGTTGTTGCGCTGTGTAGACTGGTCGATGTTAACCAACGTTTCAGAGGTCATACTACCTCCATCATCAGGGTGATGAGTATGAAGATTTCTGTCTTCTGGGTTGTTGCGCTGTGTAGACTGGTCGATGTTAACCAACGTTTCAGAGGTCATACTACCTCCATCATCAGGGTGATGAGTATGAAGATTTCTGTCTTCTGGGTTGTTGCGCTGTGTAGACTGGTCGATGTTAACCAACGTTTCAGAGGTCATACTGCCTCCGTCATCAGGGCGATGAATATGCCAATAGGGTGTGTGGGGCTAGGTTTATAGGGCCGGAAAGTGAAAGGTGTAGCCTGCCCCAAACCAATGGGAGCGAGTGGGCAAGTGTAGGAGAGGGAAAGAAAGTAAAGAGAGAAAGGGTGAGTTTGGTTGGATGGATCCGGGCCCTGAAAAGGGGCATGTTAGTGGTCTGTTTGGTTCTGGCGGTGCACTCGTGCTCGCTCTCGGAGTCCTCGAAGACCACTAACATGGCCCTCTTCAGGACCTGGATCCATCCAACCGAACTCACCCTTTCTCTCCCTATCCCACACACTTCCATTGGATCGGGGCAGGCTACACCTTTCACTTTCCAGCCCTACAAACCTAGCCCCACACACCCTATTGGCATATTCATCGCCCTGATGATGGAGGCAGTATGACCTCTGAAACGTTGGTTAACATCGACCAGTCTACACAGCGCAACAACCCAGAAGACAGAAATCTTCATACTCATCACCCTGATGATGGAGGTAGTATGACCTCTGAAACATTGGTTAACATTGGCCAGACTACACAGCGCAACAACCCAGAAGACAGAAATCTTCATACTCACCGTTGTGACAACCTCAAATCTTACATTCCTATATCACATTGTCACAAATAAAAATTCTTTCCCCAAACTGGCTAAAAGGAACTCCAAAAATTAAGGGTTTTGCTGTTGCCTTCCTTCTGGAGCAGATTGGGCTTCACTGTTTACTTGGTGTTCCACCTTTTGATCACCCATGTTTGTGTAACTCATCGCCTTCCCCACATTCCTACACATCCTACTGTTGAGCTTCATTCTATAAAATTTTCTCCAGTGATCCTTTGGGTGCAGTGCCTTGTCCTATTGCCCTCTGACACCCTGTCTTAACTTTCAATATTTGTAAAACTGAACTGTATTTAATGCATTTATCTTGTATAGTTTTAAGTCCAGAAAGTATTAAACCATGTGGCAATGTGATACAGGAATGCGTGGAAGATTTCTGTATAGAATTGGAATGAAAGAAGTTTAATGCAACAGTGAGGTCTTAAATATTATTAACAATATTTTACATTATGTTGAATGTCACAACTGTAACTACAGAAATGGAGATTTTAAATCTCTTTCCTCTTCAATATCAATGTAATCCATGCCTTCTTTCTGTTTGACCCATAATTTGATGGTACTACTGCCTGTTCCTGAAGCAGGCAACTCTGCTAATTTCACAGTGCTGCCATGTCCAATTATACCTCGTTCATGGGCTGCTGCAAGCTGATTAATCACCTGACGCTCCACCTCATACTTTATGGAGCGTGCACCATAATGAACATCATAACCATCTGCAAGGACTGCCAGTACTGAATGGTCCCATATTAGCTTTATTTTGTGTTTTTCCATAGCCTGAAATACAAGAAATGTAGAAATATATAATGAAGAACAAAGAACTGCAATATTATTGTGTTCATCATACAAACATCATCAAATTTCCATCATATCTAAAATTACTAACAACTTGTGATTAAATTTGTTGTCTGAATCTACACTAAAAACTATCCACCAAATTTAATTTTGGTTCACACTGCTGATCCAATGAAGTATCTACTTTATAAGAAGTTCAATCCAAACTTTAAATTTTTTTTAAATAATTTTACATATGGTGAATATTTAATGAAACAGACTGATAATTTCTAACTGAATGCAGTAAGATATCTGTAATGTGATCAGCTCCGCAAGAAATGAACATTAAGGAAAAAATATAGAAAGCACATTTGGAAAACATGTACTCCTTATATGTGCAGGCTACGGTTTCCATTCTTATTTCTCTAACCTCAAATATTTGCAGTATGGTCTTATGATTATATTAGCAGTTTCCCATCACTTCTTGATTGATATAATGTATATTTCCAATGACAGTAATAATAAAAATTAGAAACCTACAGCTGTGTGATTTGAATACATTTTCTCACAGCTCTTAATTTTGATGCTTGTAATTTTCATACTAACTGTGCAAAATGCAAAATAGAAAATACCACTATGGAGCTCAAATTGTTTGGTCAAAAATGAGACCAGCAAATCACTACTGGTATACTAATCACCTGGAAACAAACATATCACTAGTCACCAGCTGCTTAAGCCAGTCAATAGTCGAATAGTAAACTGACCAAAATGCTTTGTGTAAGTCTTTCTCTATGTTGGAAAAATATAAGATACTCTTTACAATAAAGCCATTTTCAGACAGAAAAAAAAGTACAAGTTTGGACTACGCAGGTCAACTAAGTCAAGGACTTCAGTAATGGTGATATTTAATTCTTGGTTAAGTTACATATATTTCTATTAAACATGTAGAAGATATTTACATGTGTTAAAGTTTCATTAACCATAATTAAAAAGTGCTTTATTAAATATCATATGCAAAGCCTGACAATTAAATGACCAGACTGGTTCAGTAATATGAAATCAAATGGAGTGAGAATGTGTACATCCTAATAGCACTCACACACTTTCTCACATTATATATGTTTTCCAACAAATCTGACATGCCTGGAAACAATTTAAAATTCTTTCAGTACTGTTCTCAAGTTCCTGTGAATGTCTTTAAGCGGCTGAAAATGAGACCCTTTCAAGGTTATTTTTAGTTTTAAAAACATTAAGTCACACTAGAGCAAATCAGGTGAGTATCGTGCATTTTCAAACAATGGTCTTTAAATAATTCTCAAGTTTGTTTCCAATTTCTCTAAGGATGTGACGTTCATTTTCTCTTGTAATCACTTATCGCACATACTTCTGGCAAATAAAACATTGCACCACTGAAATATTTACTGCAACCACAAAATAAACTGAATCCCCAAAACTGACACAAAACTTCTGAATTGTGCAATCATCCAGCACACATCAACTCGCCAACCTCACCAGTTGCTGCACAGAAATATATTCTAATTTATTTAATAGCCTGACTTCAAAAAGATTAATTAACTACCAGTTTTGCTCTGTGACTCACCAACTTACCTTTCGAGCCCAGAAATTCAATTCCTTGGCAACAAGCTGAAGAAGTTCTGAACGAGAAAATGGTAGGAAGTACACAATTTCATTGATTCGACCCAGAAATTCATCTCGCCGAAAATGAGATTTGAGGATTGGCTGCACTACATTTTCCTTGAAGTTTCGAGATACGGTGATCTTTTCTGGCACCTCACCATCATCTTTATCAAAACAAAAATATGTCTCTCAGTTGTCATTCTTACTAGACAATTATAACGCAAATGACATTGTTGTAAAGCTTCTCTGATTCTCAGTTTATTTAAAAATGTTACAACTGCAAAGGTTATACGAGATGGTACTATGACCATGACTACTTAATAAATAATGATTTAATCATGGCCTATTTTAAGGCCCTGATCTAACATTTACCAACTACACTTAAGAAAACCACAAAACGTTCAGTCAGGACAGCAGAAAACTCAGCTGAGGTTCAAACTGGGTACCTCTTAGACACCTCATTACCTACTTGGGGATCAGCTGACTACTTTTTCTCACCTGCCCTGACAACTTGTATTAGTGATAATGTTAAACATGTTGCTACTTACGGAAATCACTTCCTTTGGAGGAACAAGGAATTTGGGTCACAAATGCAAAACACTAAATCATTCAACAGCCACTGGACAGTGTTCACAATGAAATTAAATATGGATTATGAAATATTATATCAAAGGCAAAATTTATAGCTTAATTCTTTTGAAATTTCATTAATTGCACATTTATATGCAATATAGTTTGCTTCTGTCCTATGCCTTTTTGTCATTATTAGCGGTTCAAAGACTAACTTTTCATATATAGAAAAGGGAAGAACACGGCCATCATAAGAAAGGTGTCCAGTATCAGTCATATGCATATTTTCAGAAGAAAATGCTTGCACACAGAGAGAGTGTAAGATATTTTGTCCTTAAAAGTGCACAAGTATAAAAACCCAGCAAATAAAGTTATCAGTACCTATTTTGTCTTCAAGTCTATTATCTGTTATGTGTTTTGCTTCCTTGCGCAACTCTAAGGCATGCTGTGCTATCTCATCACTAGCAAGGTTTGAAGTCATTATGAAGATTGCACCCTTGCACTCAATTGTTTGTCCTTTCCCGTCTGTGAGACGCCCCTGTTAAAAAAACAGAATATAATCACATTCATATTTCATTCAGCTATACTAATAAATACATAATAGAACTTATTGCAAATGATAAGAATCACATTGATTTGAATTCAATGAACTATCTCAGAAGTGTCTTCTTTCTTTAGAAAATACCTAAATATGCATTAGTATTATTTGCCATTCCTTTGATGTGTTTTAGAAGTATAAAGGGACATGGACACTGAGCTCATTAAAAAAACTCAGTAGTTTCTTCAAACAAAGACTGAGCTTGAAAATTAAATCAAAAATACAAACAAGACAAAATTTCCCATAATTTAAGAAACAAGAAGGGCGAGACCAATATGAAGGAACCAATAAAGGAAATGTTGCCTGCCAAGGATGATGACATATCCTTAGACAGAAACTATACAGATTTACCTCTAGATGTTGGACTGTGGCCTAGCATCATAATTAATGCATTTATAACAATTTATAACATTGTATACACAGAGGACCTCATTATTTCAAAACAGAGATCCAAGGAAGTACCATCTTTCTACAGGACATTATCAGGGAAGAATACAATATTTTTATGACAGTTTATTTGAAACAAAACTTATTAACAGAGTAAGACATGATATCAGTGGCTTTTGCTTTCATCATTTATTATTATACAGATAAATATTCTGTGTTAACCATATCAGTATTTATTATCTTCTTAAATATGAACAAAATAAAATGCTGCATAGTTTTCATACTTCAAGACTGTAATATAAATGGAATTAAATCGTATAGATGGAAAATATACCCGTACCTTGTGCAAGGTATAACATCTAAACAACACAAATACAAATACAAACAGTGCATGAGATAAAGTTACAACTTTACCTCATCAAACAGTTGCAAAAGGACAGTCAGAACATCAGGATGTGCTTTATCAACTTCATCAAACAAGACAATGGCATTTGGAAACATAGCAAGTCTCTTGGTCAACTGGCCTCCATCATCATGTCCAACATAACCAGGTGGAGCTCCAATCAACTTTGCAACCTAAAGCAAGAAAATGTTTTTGATTTAATGTTCATTTCCAGAACCTACCACAACTATGTACAACTGCATCACTGAAGCCAGCTAATGGGTGTAACTTTTAAACAAACAAGTTTCACCTATCAAATTATCATCATCAGGTTCATATCTACATTGCATGCAAGTCACAGCACTTTCCAGTATAAATATATTGTCTGTGTTGGTTTTATATGGAAACATCAACAAATGATAATGAAGGCTTTGATTTCAGTTCTGTAATATTCAATTACTGATAACCCAGTTTCCAACCTCCACGAAGTTCAAGAACCTAACCCTGTTGGTTGTGTGCAAATGTTTATTCATTCTAACCTTAATATCCAACCATCATCATGTTTAGCATCGTTGTGAAACGTACTTTCTTACTTTCAGGAATTTATTATACTGCATGTGTTTGAAAACAAACTGCTCAAGAAAGTATTTGGACCCAAAGAGAGATAAAGTACAGAATTACGATGCAATATGATGAAAAACATGTAAATTAATGCAGATAACCCAGTATTCACTGATACATACATACACATGTACATTCCACGAATCCAAAAGTTAGTCAAGCTGACTATAAGATAAGTCATAAAGTACAAAACAGACAGATGAACACACGCCAAAATATTAATTAGATTTAACAGATGATATAGGTTTAAAATAAAAATGATAAAATAGAGCACTAAATTCAGTGCTAATGATAATGATTAAAACTACGAAAACCACTAAAATGACATAGTACTGATAATCAAAGTAAGTAAATTACAATAGACTGAACAATATACTCTTGATGGCAGACATAAATACACACACAGAATTTCGAAGGAGAAAGAAATATCTAGGAAACCAATCTCTTGGAAGATCAAGAAGAAAATAGTACAATAACAATAATGACAACAGACAGTGAAGAAATAGCATAAATTCAAATGGCTTTGGATACGGCCTGATGTTGACTCGAGGAAGAATGAAGCTTGTCTAATTAACAGTTAAGAATTCTGTCCATACTGCAAAGAAAGCAACTCTTCACCATTACAAGGATCAAATGGTGAAAGCTGTTTGGGGAAATGATCTTAGTTTGCAATGGGAATCACACAGCCCATGAACACAAAATAAAAAGTTTGAGATTGTTAAATGAGATGGTACATATAGGGCTTTAAAATGTTACTTGGCTATATCTACAGTTACATACCTCATGCTTTTGTTGGTACTCTGACATGTCAATGCGTATGAAGGCATTGTCCTTCTTCTTGTGCAGATACTTGGCAAGCTGTTTTGCTAACTCAGTTTTCCCAATACCAGAAGATCCCAAGAATAGAAAAACCAGAGGATGTTGTTCATCTATCCAACCATTCTCCTTCCTGCGGATAGCTGGAAAAAAAGGACAAAATTCATAAAACATTCACGATTATGGCTAACCGGATACTTACAATAAACATTCTTGCTAGAGTAAATACTCATACAATACTATAACAAATGTGAGTAAGTCCATGATGTGATCTGGAAAATATATAAAGGCAAGGTTCCTACTGTGTGCAATTCATATATCTATTAAGAACATGAGCAACCATGCACAATATTTAATTTTGTATATTTTCTGCTTCTAGGGTACAGAGGTCTCTTATAAGTCTTATTCAATGTTTATCAAACAGGATGGAAATTCTTGCACAGTTTGTAGCAACAGGCTTAGCTAGTCATAAATCTTTATATTCCATGGTAAACAGCCTTACACAGATAGTTTAAAGTTGCTGAGATGGTAAAGAAAGATATATATACTTCTTCCAACTATGGAACTATAAAGGTTTGTTACATGTTCACAAAAGTCTACAATTTAATGCTATCCCAAGACAGTGAAGCTCCACAAACACCCTACTTGTCTGAGATGCAATTATCCTTTCATCAATGCTCACAGTGTTGAGTGGCTCTTCCCATGTTACTTTCTGATCAAAATTTGTTATACACTTTACATTTTCCCCATGCCAGCTACATGTTCTGCTCATGACATCCTCATAATTCAACACCCTAATATTATAGTATGATGAAGTTCCACTTTATGTAATTTTCTCCATTCTCCTGTCATGTTTTCTCTGTTATAACTGATTATTTTCCTCAATATCTTGTTCTCAAACATCTTCAGTATACTGCCACAGTAACATCAAACTAACGAACGTGTTATTACTTACTTGACGCTACGGTTGTAATTGCACTTTCCTGTCCCACAATGTACTGTTTAAGTCGCTGTTCCAGTGGAAACCTAAGTCTCTCCTCCGCCTCTATCTTCAACTGCATTTCCTTGAACTATACAGACAGGAATTAATTTCGTGGAATCCTGACCTTTCTCTACTAACCTTAGTTACTTAACTGTTTAAACAAAGCTGCCCAGCTGTGCAGTGTGTCACTTAAAAAACAGCAAGCAGCATTACAGTTTATCAATTTTGTGGTCAAAGCCCCTTTCTTTTATTGTTATATTATCTCAAATAATGGTTTTGCTCAATTTAGTGTTCAAATATGATATGCCAAGAGAAACTTTAGACTGGGACTTCACTATACACTACTGTAATAACAGTTCTTAGCATATCCTACTTCCAATTCCAATCTCACCTTCATGTAGTTTCCAAAGACTTGGCTCTGTCACTCAAGCAATAACAGAAAAACCAATACATCTGCAGTGTAAGAAATATACCTGGTGTGAACAAAATGCTGGTTTTACCATACCATCTGATGTGGAGGAAATGCTACTGGCAATAAAGAAATTTATTACTGAAGATGGCTGTCTTCTGAGTTGTTACGTCATGTAGTCTGGTAGAAATTTACTGACATTTCAGAGGTCCTCGCTGCCTTGATAATGAGGGCAATGAGTAAGCCGTGCCATCTTCATACCAACTGCCGTGAAAACTTCGAATTCTACAAATTTATTACTTTGCAAAACACTTAAAATTGCATTTCCTCCTATCGTCTGATAATATCCCACTAAAGGAAAGAGAATACTATAATTTGTCTGTCATGAGAACAGGGTGCACTGCATGAAGGTGAAGTTGTCAGTAAAGAGAAGTGTCTGTAGTGTACACATTATCCCTTATACCCTGATGGCAGCTGTGGAAATGTATCATCTGGGAGTCGACAAAATTTCTATATATTTTGCAACACCTCCAAAAGTATGAGCCAAGGTAAGAACAAAAAAGTTAGGAACTGTATGCATGGTATAACAATTGTCACATTCACCACAATTTAACCTTTGGCCTTTATGAATAATGCGAATTATGTAAGAGTTCTTATGTCGATGACCTTTGATTCCTGTAACATAGTGCCTACAATCCTGCCAAATGCTCCCAAACTCTGACTTTTTAACTCAGAGGAAAGTAGAGGGTTTCTAGAGAAGGATTGTTCGTTACAAATTTAATGGTATTATAGTAGCTACACAAAAGTACCACTTGAATCACCGGGTATAAAAGAAATGAAATGTAATTATTTTATTTATTGTATCAAAAGCAAAAAAAGGCTTAGTCTTAATTCAGGAAAAAGCAAGAAAATTCTAATTCTTTTGCTAAAATATTAAAATTTTCTGATCTAAATTAAAATTGAAATGACTATAGTAATTGTAATAATATTCTACAATATCAAACTCAATCACAATCAGCTTAGTTTCTCAAAAGTTGTGTCATGCATAGAGACAGATGGGTAGATGGATTTCAATAAATACTCTGCAGGGTTGCAAATGTGCCTAAAAAAGGGCTAGACACATATTATTTTTAGTCAGTGGTTAAAAAATACACACTGCTTTCATGCAAATTTAACCCTGAAATAAAAATATATTTTTGAATAGTTACCTGTTCAAGTGGTTTACCAGTTATTAAAATGTGATACATGAGAAAATTATTCACCAGGCTCTGACTTCTTGATAAAGGATCAAGCCCGAGGAAAAAAGCATCAATCACCAAGATGTTTACAACAGCACATAATAAAGTATGTCTAATCTTAATAATGCACATTAACACTTATACAAACCCCAAGATTCAATAGAACACATTCTGTAAACCAGACATACAAAAAATTATGACAGTACCTGAACAGATGATTTGAGTAGCATATCTTTGATTACTGCAGAATCTGCAAGATCAACAGGAATATTTCCCGAATCATTCTTGATTGTTGGGTCTGCCCCTCCTTCAAGCAGGGCCTTAACAACTTCAATATCATCAATTATTACTGCATAATGCAGTGACGTGAAGCCACGGAAAGATACACGATTGCTCAGCACATCACTGAACTCATGCTCCCTTATCATAGTAACTAAAAGAAACAAAAACTGGGTTATAAAAATTATGTACATGGGTTGTATCATGACAAATTTCCTTATAAGCCAACACATGAACTATGAAGAAACACAGTATGAATACCATCCGATATTTCATTACAAAAAGGGTAAACAATAGAGGAGCAGCAAGCTCAATTTCATCTAACAAATACAACAATAAATTTCTTCATAAACAAAGAAATAATAGGCCTCTCATTAAAAAATTTCATGGTAAACTTATGTAATAAAAGCAGGGACTTAAACCTGATGCACCCTTAAAGAAAAGGAAAGAGGTGAATGGTTTTACAAATGTACCAGTATTTGAAAGAGAAATATTTGTGTGAATCTATTAAATAAGCTAATACGTTGTAGGTTTTATTCAAAGTTACAAAGAACCTTTATTAACTATTTTATGAAACCAGTCAGCATGTCTGGAAGAACCCATGTACATACCAATAAAGTGACCATATATATAACAGGAATGTTGTGCAGGGGCAGAGCCACCAAATATCCTCAATCCAAGAAAAATAAGGATGCCTTACAACTTTTTACAAGAAATGAATTACTGTCTTGTAAATCAGAAGCAATATGAAAAAAAAATTCACAATATTCCTTCTAACATTCTGACAAAGGAATTTAAGTTAGAAATGGGCTTCTATGTTTGTCAGACCCTCTAACATTTAAATGGTACAAAAATAAAATGTATTCTCACTAATATACCACACACAAAAATATTAAAAACCTAAACTAAAAATAATGTGACAAACTTTACACCAGTGAAAATGTAACCAAACTCTTTATTTTAAATCAGTTGTGTGGGCACAATTTGCACATAAATTCACAACAAATAGAAACTTCCATAAACTGGATACATAACACCACTGATATTTGTTTTAAAGAGAAAGTTTTTCTAACCTTTACACCAATAACTTATTTATTACCATCCACAGCATGAAGACCCATTTCAATTCCAGTTCTGTGAGCACCTTTGAATTCATCACCCAAGTTTGGATCAGCTCCTGCTTTCAACAGAGCTCTCACAGCCTCCACATTTTTGTTAACTGCTGCCACCTGCAGGGCCGTCCAACCAAGACGATGGCGTATGTTAACATCTACACCTCCAGCGCTTAAACTAGTGAAGAATATGAATATCAATCAGCACAGGGTCTACAGCCAGGGTTCAAGTTCCTAAAGACATTTCATATCTTCACTGGTACATCCAGCACAGCTTTGAGACTCGTACAAGGGATTATTCATATGGGAATGGGTAAAACCACAGTATAAAGCTATCTCTCACCTGTATTTAGAACTAAGATTATGAATGTATGTAGCACTACTACCACAATGCCCATAAATCTTCATTGTTTTATGAACTTGGGTCATATTTAACTTTATCATAACACTGGAATGGGGTACTTAAATGCCTTTACTAGCAGCAAGATTTTAACTCAGAGATCTAGCTAATGGCACTAGTATTGACAAAATGTATATTTGCCCATGAAATAATTATTCCTAAAATACTGCACCAAATGAGAGTGGTATCATATTAAATTGGAGGCTAGGCTGGGTGATCAGAGAGTTAATCCATAACCAATTAAATTATGTAACTTTTATAAATGCAGACTATTCTAATTTCCAATTTGATGGTTAGTCTACACAGCATATAGGAACTTTCATAACCTCAATTTCATAAAAGTATTTGCTAGCAAATATGATTTGCATGAAAAATGGGAGTTGTTACAGAAATCTGTTCCCAGGCTTTAATGGAAGCTTGAAATTTAAAACCAGTTTCCAAAGGAATCGAAAGATAATGCTACAACAGAAATTTCCTACATTCTGCTTCCAATGCTACTCACTTGGTTATGACTGACAAATTATTTAACTTACTAGTATTCATTAATACAGCACAGCACTTTAACTACTTCTCAGTCATAATAATGGTTCATTAATGTACCATAGTCAACCAACAGTATCACATTGAATTTACTGCATTCAGCCCATTATATGTCTGGTCAGCAAAGTACTGCTTCATTTAAATGCCTCACTTACAAACCTCTGCCCACAGAAGACTGACCTGTCCCCTTGATAAGTCAACTGTTGCTAACAACAGCAACCAAGTATAATGTACAGCGATGTTGGAAAGGAAGAACTTTTGCCTTTTATGTTCACACTGTTAAATTACATGCATCAGAGCAATTACATGCTGGTTTGAAGAGGTTCTTAAGAAATTATTGGTTCAGGTTTACAGTTCAGAAACCATTCATTTTATGGGTTCAGTTCAGGTTCAGAAAAGTTACGTGATTTAGTTTTCAGTTTGCAGTTCACTTCAATGCTGTGTTTTAAAAACAATGAGTATAAAGACTGGAAATAAATATTTAACACCTGGAAGCTACATAATACTGGGGAATTCATACACATTACATCTATTAATGACATGTTATTGTTTCATACCTCTCAATTTCTTCTGCATTTCCATACTTTGCTGCACGGAATAACTGCTTGTCTGAAACAGAAGAACAATCATAAACCACGTAGTCTGTTTATTTTTGTTGCTCATTTAATGATGATATATCAATTCTTACTCAGTTCTGAAATTGAAAATAAATGGTGCTTGGTATAGTTATACATGACCATAGACGATGAAGAAGAAGATAGTTATACATAAATCTTATTGACTTAATGAGCACGTATAATTTTATATGAGATTACTGAATGTTAAAATATGATATTATGTAATGCAGGAACTGAAAATACAAAGCACAATTAACCATGACATAAAATGCTGCATAAATTATAATCAATTACAAATATAATCAAAATCTTGCACTATAAGACAGTAAATTAAAGTTATGCTAACTGTAATACAAACCTTCTTACACTAAATAACCTCATAACCTATCACAGAACTATTTTTCTTGCATTACTAGACCTAACATAAACCCTTCCAACCAAGCTAACAGTTATAGTGGTAAACTTCAAGAACAGTTTCTGGATGTAGTCAGTTCAAATCTCAGCTGTTCTGACTGAGTTTCTTCTAGGATAAAGCAATGACTGAACGGCAAAATTCAACAGAACAGAATTTATTTACATTCCAAAGATCCTACATAAGCCAAAGCCAATGATGTAGAACATGTCACAGCACAATGTCAATTACCACTACAGATTTAAACTTCTGGGAATATAACATCTTTCTAGACTGGGTCAGAATTTGGTAACTTATGGCAGATTTTATTATTTTCACTTTATTTAATTTATTTTTACCTATATTGGGAGGTAGCATTTTTCAACTCAAGTATTCAAGGACATTAGATGAGAAGGGATTCTCCCTAACCATAAACTGCACATTAACTTGCCATATCACTGAAAACAAACATGTTACGAAAAAGTGACTGGATATTCAACGTCATACACCAGTTGAAGAATCTACCTTTTGATCGCTCCGAGCACAATGCCAGAATAAGGGCCACACCACTTGATAATAATAATGGCACATGTCGCTTCTGAAACTCTTCTGAATATTCACTGGCTTCTATGTCCCAAACACACGCCGTGTTTCTTGGTAAATACATTGGCAACAAGCCACAACGTTTGTTCTGACATCGCCAAAGACAATTACTACGAAACGCACTACTGAATTTTGCACGTTTCCTCGCAAAGATCCAAAACAGTTTCAGACCATTTCTTCCAAATTGTCTAAATGTATACATACCTACACAGCCTACTAATAAATAAGAATAACACCGAACTACTTTACTATATTAAGTAAACCCTTTCGTAACCACGACCTTACAACCATATTGAAGCTGTTGTCGCTTATGTCACAAATTTGATTTAGAGGAAAGTGCACAATTTGCTTATTAAATTTCCCTCTGTATAGTGATGCACTTATTCATGTACATTCCATGAACATCGGGCTATATGTTGGTAAGTCCGATGCTTTTATGCCGTGCAAATATAGTGCTTCCATCTATTCGCAGCTATAGTAAAACTACAATGAATTCGATCTGGTGGAAAGTTCCTTAAACCTTGATAGCAGCCAATACGAAGAACCCAGTCGATAATAACGTTAACTACATCCTACTTGCTCGACCTTATACCACAGTATGAGGTAATTTAAAAAATTCGAAGACCATTTGTTAGTATATCGCAAACAGCAATTTGGTAAAGGTTGGCCAACATTTTAAAGTGCTTACTGCTTCAATAGATCTCAAAATTAATCAAAATGACTATGATATGGAACAAGTTATAAAATAGAAAAACACAAATATAAAATTTTGTAAAGAAAGATGGTTTTTCATCCATATACGTATATACAGAAGACAAATGATATGGAAAATTTTAGCCTTTTTACTTAAACACATTAAAAAGAAAATCAGTCAGTATATTAGGAAGTCATTAACAGAGTACAAAGAGGGCACAATTATCTTTTCAGTTCAGTTTTCAAATGCCCATTATTAATCATAATACTTTTGAGACCAGATAATGGATATGTTGATACCAGCATAACATGTATTTTTCTAAAATTCTGAATGGCTAGCAAGTGGACTAAAAATCTGGTACTTCCTTGCATTAATTAGTACTATGCACCAGTGTTTGGCCCCAGCCACAATTATAATCATTTTCTTTAAATATCATTTCATTATTAGACAAGTTTCTTTCCCCCCAAGAATTATTATACACTTCTTTAGAGTGATAAAATGTAAAAGTGTTTTTTATGAAAACTTGATCTCAGTACATAGTATTCTCCACTTAACTCTGAAATCATCTGATCCAACTTTATTTCAATTTTATTTTATTTAATAAATATGTTGATGCTATTTTTATTAATTACTCACTTAAAACTAAAGGTTTAATTTGAGAGACAACAATTTTTATGTGTTCTTTCCATGATGTAAAAAATTTAATATAGGGCTGACCACGGCAATGTCTCTCGGTCCACCCACTCGATTCAACTCGATAAGCACTGGATGGATTTAAATGTAATCTGGTTTGAACGTTATGCCATTGTGGTCTACCATAAAATCATACTTTTTAATTTGCTGCAATCAGTAATATCAATGTCATATAATGATGGAAGGTAAAATACTTCAAAATAAATGCAACTTTGGTATCATAATTCTTTGTATAATGTAAAATAACAACAAAGCAGCTGCATAAGAAAAACCTGATCCAGATTCAATCCCATGACATATGTCCAGTACACTACCACAGAGCTATCTCACATTGTGTTACACTGTTACCGATTTACTGAACTTAAAGAAAACATTAAGAATACATATGTATAGCCACAAATTAAAATTGTCAAAATACAACAAATTATGTACAATTTGAAGCTTTCACAACAACAAACATTAATAGAATCTTCTTGTGTTATCAGCTGATTAAAACTCGACATCACATCACTATCCTGATGGTGATGGTCACTGAAACTTTAATCAAGTGACAGTTTATAGCCAAAAGAAGATTTTATTCAAACAACAAATGATATCAACTTTTAAGAATATTTGTTTTTAATTTACAGATTAAGACACATCATAAATTGTAAGCAACAGGCTACAATGCATATATTTATCAGCTTGCAATACAAAATAATTCCCTCTGATTCTATGCAGTTCTGTCAAAGTTTCTGGTGCACAGCTGTATAAACAGATAAAGAAAATATCTTGGTAAAAATTGTGGAAAGCACATACAACAAAATACAATTCACTCATTTCTTTCGTTAACAAGAACAGGTAAGAGTTAAAAAACAAATGTTATTTTCAAGAGATGCGTTTATGTTCCTACATTTCCTGCATTCTATTGCTATGCTTATGTGGATGATACTAATAGCATCAAATACATGCAAGATATGGCATTTGTTTTACTTCAGCTACAAAAATTCAGAATTCATAATATGCAAAAGAATGCACGTGGAACCTCTGTGTATTCTGGTATGATTACACACACCCATTCTAATTTCATTATACTGTGTGTTACAACGTTACAGAAATGTATGTGTGCGCTGCAGAAAACACGTAGGCAGCTTTTGGTTCTGAAATCTGCTCTTATACAGTGTTCAGTACCACTGTATTTTCCAGTGTAGAAGACACTTTTTAACTTGTAGAGCAAAGGCTGCCTCCCTTACCAGTGCACGTGTGCTCTGAATTGGCCACAATTAGTTAATTTCGGTTCATATGTTCCTCTAACTCCCTCTTCCCTTGAGAAGCAATGTTCAACAATCAACATAATTTCAGTGTGTTGATGAATTTTATAACTGAATAATCAATTTGTCAGATTTTTAGTTTTATACCTTAAAATTGCTTTTATTTTGGTGGTGTGTCATACACACTGGAAAGTATTGTAATCACAGTCCAGTTCTTTGTCAGCATAAAAGGTGGTCATGTCAGCTGTCTTTGTTCATTTTATGTCATATAAGATTACATGTATGTTGATTGCAGTCTTCAGGGTTGTTGCGCTGTGTAGTCTGGTTGATGGTTACCGTTTCAGAGGTCATACTGCCTTCATCATCAAGGCGATGAATTCACATTCACATTCATCGCCCTGATGACAGAGGCAGTATGACCTCTGAAACGGTGGAAATCTACCAGACTACGAAGCGCAAGAACCCAGAAGACTGCAATCTTCAGACTCACCACTGTGAAAACCTCAAATCCTACATAAATGTATGTTAATCTCATAAAACTGATGTGTATACCAACCTTCTTAGAGCAGCATACACAAAGTGTTTTTAAGATGCCAAAAGGGTAAAGAGACCGGTATGTTCATTTATCACAAATACAAATCTAGTGTTACATAGCTGATAAATAACTCACATCACATTATACTAGGGAATGAATTCTCTTTTCTTTTATTGCGCTACATTTTAATCAGAGAAAAACGTTTCAAATAAAAGACATTTTATTTTAAGTCATGTAGTAACTTTCATATGAGCCGTTCTTCAGAAACTTATTTGACATCTTTGTAAATTATTGTTTTCTGTACGACTGATGCAGACCAAAATTAACTTTACCTTACACCATACGGTGTACACCTCGGACAATGACAAACTTTACTGCACTGTATAATTTGTTTCAGATATAAAAAAATTTTACGGGTAAGTCCTCCTCGCAAGTCAATTTTAGGAAATTTGTGAAAATAATGAACAATATACAATAAATAGGAAATAAATTAAAACACTTATATGAGGTAATGGAATGCATCTGGGTTTAAAGTATGTATGAACAGAGCCAGGAGAGGATTAAAGTCTTATTCCCATAACTCATATATAAGAATATCATTTACTGCAGACTAACTGCAAGTACTTTGTACACTTTGTTCTCATGTCACAAGTACGCTAAATAAAAGAGATCTTTCAGTTTCACTTAGGGATTCTGTTCAGGCCAGAAGGGTTGCACAGGCAAGAAAAGTGCTGGGTGCTCTATGTGCAGGCCAACTGGTGAAATAAAAATCAGTGCCACCACAAATTGAAAAGTGAATAACACCAATGTTTAACATTTCATACTGCATGTGCTGTGAACTCCCAATTGCCCTACTTTCTATTTGCCACTAACAATAATTTCATACCAACAGCCACAGCACTCTATCCACAAATACTTCTAATTCCCAAGCAGTGATTATACACATACAACACACAAATATACACGGCGTACTATGCATTCCACATGTACAGACTGACCGAAAAGTCAGCATACCCTTCAGATATTTCAATTTTAACACCTGCAACATTTTATGGTACCTAAGTACAAATCACTGACAAGAGTTTAGTCCAAAATTAAGTTTGGCAATGCTGTTACTTGTGATGTTCCTAGTATGTCACTGATATTACCTGTTGTGGCCTGAGCCCATTTAGTAGAGCATTAACAAGACTGTACACGTTTACAAATCCAGCAGGTCCGTGTAAGCACTCTTATCAGTAGTACAGACCTGAATTATTATTGCCATATCCTTCAAGACATGCTCTGTATCATCTGCAGTGTTAGACACAAAGGCTTCAACCATAGTGATCTATAACTCATTGGCAGTGTACCAACATAAAGTTACCTTGCCATTTATGATACCCAAAAGGCTGTTGTAAGATGTGGTTAAGTCCGGACTGTGCAGAGGCCATACAAGTGGTGCTAACGATCTTGCAGAACCATGACCAAAACATTAAATACATCAGTTAGAAAACAGTACATAGTAAACAATGATAAGTTATGGGCTGCTGTGTTCAAAGCCTTCGTATCTGTAACGCCAAAAATTCTATGGAGCATATCTCAAAGGACCTGGTGATGCATTCAGCTCCGTGCTAATCATGAGTGGACTCACACAGACCAGCTGACTTCTTAATACTCGATTAAAGACGTTTGGCCATAGCGGATAACGATACACCAGCAGCACCACTACAGACAGCAATGCCACACTTCACTCAGCACTGTTGCCACATCATCCTGCTGTCAGAAAAATTACATTTAGGTATCATAAAAATATTGAAATTCAAACAACATAAGAATATGATAACTTCTCAGACACTGTAGTATTGAACACAAAACATTGATAATGAAGATAAAAAGTCACGGAACATGACAGTAACAGAAAGTCTTGAATAGATAATGGAAAGCAAATTTATAAGAACGTGATCCAGAAAATAATTATATGTGACACAGTCAATAATATTTACTTTCATAAATTAATATATAAATATTACAAGAAATAATATTAATGAAGTTAAAATAAGGCACCTTAATATTTTAAATATACCTTTATACCAATGTTACACCACATTTAAAAACCACTTAACCTTAGGTGTAAACTACAAGGAATATTTACAAAACCACGTACACGGTGACATGTTACCACAAACGGGAGTGTGAGAATTTGAGATCATGTTTAACTGGTGATGTGCTGTGATGCAGGCGGCATGATGTGGGTGCTGAGTTTACTTCACCATTCAGCTCTATCACAAAAGATTTTGGTGACTTACAGGTCTCTTGCGTGCTGCAATCACCAACCGGGCCGAAGACAGATTCATGTTCCATGTCAAAGGCCAAATGAGAGGTGCCACTGCAACGCCAAAATACAAGAGTGCTTACGTACAGCATACTGAGAAATAAAAGCAGTGCAACATTTTTGAATTCACAGAAATAATTTCAAATATACTTTGTACAAAACATAAAAACTAGTCAACTTATAGATAAAACAATCAGATTTCTTGAGAATTCGGTTTACATGATAAATCCATCACTTACCCATCATGTTGCTGTTGGTGTTGCTGGATACCAACATTTTGCAAGATCTGCAGGCAGAAAAAACAAAACACCAATCATTATCAAGGCAAAATATTTTCAGAATTTTATTAATTACAGCCAAGCTCAAAACCTGCAAGTTTAATTTAATTTCAAAATAAATCCTTTTCATACCACTACAATTCAAACACACAAAATCAGTTACAGAAAACACTGCAATACATTCAGATGGACGAACCTCCTCCACTCTTCATTTATGACCGATACAAAAACCACTGCAAAACGTTTCACCCACACAAGATCACGTTAAGCGCGACATACATTATGAAATGACCTTGAATGTGATTTAAAGTACAATAGGTCTGGAAGAGAAAACTTTCTGATATTTGATGGACATCTGACGAAGGATTGCACTTAGGATATTACATTTGAGTTTATATGGATCATACACCTGAAGATGGTTCATTTAGAACCGAAACATGTAGTGTAAAAGATGATGCTCTAATGTAAATCGAAATATTCGATAGAGAGCATCATTTTAATATATTTCAAATAATTTAAATGTTAATTGTAATAATATTTTAACATTTAATAATAATATTTTATTGTGATTTGACTGATAAAATTGAGCAAGTATATATTCAACACAATAATGACGCAACATTATCATCTCATGAATACCTCTCATTCTTGTTTAACAGCAGTTATTGTGTCAATCTTATACTAACCTTTCCTACAGTGGAAGGTGGTTTGTGGGCTGCATAGCGTCCATACAACTGTTGCAAACCATCACAATGCTCTTCAGCCTCGTTAGCTCTGTGGAATACACGATTAATATTGCAACAACAGAAATTCAAAACTAATATTAAAGAAACCAGTAAAAAGTGTCAGATATCTTGTCTGCAAATTGTAGTATTTTGTAGCATTTTTAATAAACTTCCATGGCATTTCAATTTCCGGACCGGAGATAGGGATTAGCTCTATCGATTGGGCCCAACAGAGTACGTATACCTGAAGATGGAGATAGAGTCCCACCTCCGAAACGTCATGCAATTTCATGATTTTATTATATGATGGAAAACATCCAGAAAACTTTTATTTTAAATTCAATCCATCTTACATCTTCAACAAGTTATCCTCCCATCTATGCTAAGTCCTTACAAGAGGTCTTAATTTGTAAGAATAACCAAATTCAAAATCATGAATATTCTCTTTTAGTATGATATATGGTTATGGAAGACTGTTTGTGTAATCAAACCATGACCTTTGACCTTTGCAAATGGCTCCAATGACCACATAGGTTGGAGTCAATGGTCTTCACACGGGCAAGGTGTCTAGTGCCTATCTCACTGTGTAATGACTTCACAATGTGAGATTCCCGACACTGCTGTATGGCAATATGTCTAGCTGGGCAATGGCATTCACTGAGAATTCCCCACACGGCTTCTCAGGCAGTGTCAGGCTAGGAATTACCCAAGGCCACTTCCACATGCAGAAATGTATAGGTCATCATGTAAAGTGCCTGTTATGACTGATTTTAACCAAAATTGGAATATGTCAGCAACATTTTGTAGAACTCTCTAATATATACTTTCATTAAAATATGCTCAGCAATTGCTAAACTGTTACATGCAGTGATGGACAGACGGATAAACATGACAAAGCAAATAAACCCACTTTTGAAATTTAGTTGAAAATGAGCCTAAAGGCCAGAAGGCATCCTTGATGCTTACAAATAATAACGTACAATAAAACCACACCTTTAATTCTCACTACCAATTAATTTTCTAAACCAATATACACACGAATGTTTTTGATTGAATTTCATATTTCATTTCAACCTCATTGAAAAGTTACCAGCAAGTACAGACAAGAAAGGTACTTGTGTATCAATATGTTTTCACTTACTCTGGCTTAATAACAACATAAATTGTAGTAATTTCATCATTGTCATGCAGACTCACAAGAATATGTCAACTTTTTTGGTTATACAGGATCATTCAAGTAATCAGAGAACTATAAATGGTAAACTGGGAAAAAGGACATCATACAGGTCCATTTTAGGATGTTATGACAGCCCTTCTGTCTGTAATGGCAGAATAAAATCATGCAAAATATAAGTTAGGATAAGTGCAATTCCAAAGCCAAGATTTAGTTTGAGGACATCAAAAACACATAGCAGGAGTGATATTTATGTCACTCAGATGTAAAAGAATTTTTATGTGTAAGATTACCTTAATCCAGCAGCATTACTCAGAGTTCCTGTACTGAAATGGTTCAATGATCTTGACTGGAGCAAACTGCAGCCATTGTTCACTTGATCTGGCAATACATTATTAAACAATGCATTAAAATGGGTGTGATATTAGTGGGATGGGCACAGCATGTAAAACGCATTGAAGTTTAGTATTCTTTTATGTAAGGACATGTACAAACACAGCCAACTGAAGAATATTCCCCACTCACACTTGAAAAATTAACCTCACGACGTCCGCAACTATGACCACAAAACCACTTAAAGTTTAAGCCGAGTCACCACACAGCTGGGTCCAACAAAAAATTATATGTTCTCCTTGTTTCATGAAACTCCAAACATTTTATTTTGGAGTCCATTTTCACAGGACCCTTATTCTCTACACTTTCTAATAATCACATTAATCCCATTCCTTCCATCAATTTATGAATTATACTAGACTCTCCTTCAACAGTTTTTAATATCTGTAAGTAAAGATGCTGGCCCACAACAGAACCCAAACTCAGAGAACAAAATTTTTGTGTGTCTACCCTCATGCTCCAATTTTATGGCACCAAAGCTCACCATTATTTTACAATACTGCATCTCCCATGGGTATTCACAAAGTACTAAACTAGAGAAAAGAGTTCAGCTGAAACCAGAAGAAATTAATTTGTAGATGTATTTACAACCAACTATATGGAATTACAAAGAAAAGTAAATAGTTAAATAAACAGTGGCAGCAAAAGAAAGCATTATGCAGTAAACAGCTAATCTCTGCAGTTGTAATGATCTATTGAATTCATAAACAAAACAATCTAATTTACATATCACTGTTTATTTTTATCAGACACGGATAAAAAATAAAAATGTACAGTAACTGAGGTCTATCAAAAGAATGGGACTACAGAGAGAGAAGAAATAAATAATTTACTGTACACCAACTGGAATATGTAAAAAAAGAAACTAAAAACTGGAAATTGAAGAAACAGGAAAAACCAAACAAGATAAATTTTTATTCAGTACAAAAATTCATCCCTTCTGTACCTCAAGTTCGCTAAAGTGAAATAACACATGCTGTTATACGAAATATATAACAAACTCCATGGAGTAGAGTCCTTGAGAAACTAATATTATGCTCAGCTAATGAAGAAATTCCTTGCAATTTATGAAACCTGAAGATTCAACACCACGTTCACAAGAGCCTGCCAATGGTTCCTATCCTGATCCAGATGAACTAAAGCCACACCCCCAAAACCAATGTCCCTAAAATCCATTTTAATATTATCATCCCACCCACACCTGGGTCTTTTGGGTAGTATTTTACCTTCAGGCTTTCCAACCCAAATTCTGCATGCATTTTTCTTCAGTCTCCTATCACTTCGTCCCTCGTAGGCCCAAATATTCTGCAACCACTGCAATTTACCATTCTTCCTTGCATCTAATAATATTAAACATGCTTTGTGAAACTATGGTTTATGCTTTAATTTGTAATGACCTAGCATCTCTTTGGCTAAAATGTTTATGTTCTCTCTAACACTTTCCCAAGCCCTACTGTTGCCCATTTATCACCCAAGTTTTCCAAAGCCCAAATATAAATGTTCTTAAAATTAATTTTACCAGCAATCAACTGATATCAATCAAATACAATATGGAATCAGATATAGTTATACTAACCTGATTTCGCAATGAAAAATCCTTCATAAACAACAAAATTATTTGACTGTGGTAATATCTTTTCTAGCCCATAATGTTTGTACAGAAAGCCAAGGAACTTCTCTGATGGTCGATCAATGGCCAAATACTGAGGTGATGTTTTCTCTTCCTACAGCAAAAATCATTAACTTTCAATTAGACATTACTCATGCAGATACAGATGGATATTGTAAGGATGATTGTTCTATAAAAACTTCAATGTATGAGATTCTTACTGACATTTCTGCAGGACTGACATGGTGCGGAGTGCAGGAGAAAAACTGCAATCGCAGCAGTTAATCTTCCCCATAAGATTTTATCTGAGACCCTCATGAATACAAAGCAGGAGTGCACTACAATGAAACTAGTAGGTCCATAACTAAAAGTTCTTAATAATATAAGTGTAAGTAGCTGCAAAGGCACTTACCGAAAGCATATATTCGTACAAGGCTCTACCGCAGCCCATCCTCTGTTTAGACTCATGTACATAGAAATCCAAAACACAAAGTGGTTGTACCTCATGATGAACTCCAGCTGCATCAAATACAAAAAGTTTCTTCTTCCCAACTTTTAAGAGGCCCACTACACTACCCTCACCACTGAAATGAACACGCATGTTAACTTACAGCACAAACAACAAAAGATGCAAAAAGGGCAAGAAAGTTTACTCAATTTAAAATCACTTCAATAATAACATAAATGAAGCCAATTTATAAAAGTCAATCATCCAACAAGAAAATTTCTCATTTTATGTAATAACAAGATTCCAACAAGATATGGGAAGTTTCATTGCATATTTTATAATAATGAATTCCAGGTATGACAAATCAGTAATTACCTTTTGCCTTCAGTATCAATAAGCAGATAAACAGTGTGATCAGAGTTTCTCAAACGTTCACCACTCGTAACTGCTTTCTGCAGTCCCTGAGCTATTGCAGATGCTCTACCCATTTCATCCAATATATCAGAAATTTTGGGGGAAAAATCCCTGAAAATACAAAGATGATCTAGCAATCACAACACAACAAACTCACATTTATATACTGGGTAAGCACAAATAAACTTTACACTTTCAAAATCATACAGAAAACAAATGTGACATACTAGCGAAGTTAAAACATTTTTTATCTCGATGATAACATTATTCTGTGATTTAGAGCCATGTAGACTCATTGGCAAATGCAAATGTTCCAGAGAAACGCCTTGTCACCATCTTCAGACCCAAAGATGGAAATGGCATATTTTTCTGAAACAATGGCATCTGCCAAACAAGTCTATACAGCACCAAAATCCACAAGAACATTATCATCCTCATCACTGTGAAAACCTCAAATCTAACTTTTCTTCCTCATATTCTATTTTTAAAACAAATCCAACAACACGGACAAGTTAAGTTAACTTAACTGTTGTGTTTGTGTTAGATCTAATAAGCACAAATAAAACACAAATTTTGTGAAATGTGTAGTGGTACGTGAAAAATAAATCGAAGACAGGTTAAATGCGATCTTTAATTCAATTAACAAGAGAAACATCTTTATGTCAAACACAAAGTTATGATTTATATTTAGGATATTCTATGGCGCTGTTTAAATTCATTGTATTTGGGCTATGACACGTTCTATATCCTTGGCATGGACCTATGAGGGATCTATGGAATTTAAATAAATGCTATTGTATTCTATTAGATCACACAGCGTCGAATTAGGTTATGTAAAAGTGGGCTGAATCAATGACGATAACGGATGACACTTTTGTTTCATCCTCATATTATTCAACTGATACTTACCCAGAAATACGACGATCACCAGAAAATCCTTCTGGTAGAAGGTTCTGTCGGATCTTCACAAATTTCTTTAACAGCACTCTATTTATATTAAAAGGAAACTCCATTTTGTAATCCAATGCACACCAATTACGGTGACATATATGACAAGAAAACACTCTAAATCTACCTTCAAAGGCAATATGCCACCAAAACTTCACTTTGTTCAGCTGTCATAGTACATGAAATTTCAATTCGTTACTTCCAACACCTGTAATCAACAATGACACCTCCAAGACATTTTAATGGGCCACAAATTATTCCTACCTATAGCAAGAGTTGACTACCTGTTCGAATAAGGCAGATGGCTTAGGGCAATTAATGATGCAATTTAAGTCTTGGGTTCTATTTTTACGTACTTCCCATATTCATACGCCAGTGGGAAATTCAAACACACTGGGTTTATACTTCTTCTCACTCCTTGGTGCACGATATTCTTTGTAAAGTCGATTGCATTATCGGCTTGTCAAAGAATAACCCGCAGAAGGTTGCACGGATAATATGAAAACTAATATATCCGGTAGGCGTACCATAATGAAATAACGAAGTATGGAATCCCATTTTACCTTACTAGAAATAGGCCTATACTAATTTCTCTTTGATTCACTAAAGTTTTATTATACTTCTGCAAAATTGTTATTACCCGGAAAATGTTAAACTGAGAACAAACTCCCATTTTCACCTCTTAATGTTTCGTCACCAGAATGCAGGGCAAAATCGTTAAAGATAGCTAATAGATCAGAAGATGTCTGTCATCTGAATTGCTGCGACATGTAGTCTGGTGGAAATTTACCAACGTTTCAGAGCTCGTTCTACCAGACTACATGGCGCAATAACCCACAAGACGCACTAAATATACGCTATACATCACTATTCATGAAGAATCTCTCGCTTTCGAAAGCGATCAGGAAGCTGGTGCAGGTATAATCTGTGGTTGAATGTGACGGCAACGTTGCTACAAAATACAACATATCTTTGGAATCCACGCCTAAACCAGATATGAGATTTAGTCCCAAAGATTGAATATTTGTAGATGTTATGTTTTTGGTTAATATCGTACGAATTCTCATTACATTCATGATGTTTGAGATATACACATAAGTTTTCCTTGAGAAATGTATGAGAGCTAAATGCATATTTCATAAAAATTTTCTCATGGGAGCTACATTTTCATTAAATAATGTGAAATTACTTAGCATACCGCATCTGAACGTAACTCAGCCAGTCCAGCGTAATATAACCCAATCGAAGTAAATACAACGTTACCATCCCAACATAACCTAACATATATAAAGGTAACTCAAGGAACATGAATCAAGGTAATTAAACCAAACAACTGCAAATAAACCCTGCCTTAGGCATCGTAAACCAAAATAACCCATAACTAATATAAACTAGAGCATAGTAACGTGACGTAAATAACAGAGGCCAGTCAGACAAAACCAAAGCTAATATGACCCAACTCAACCCTACACAAAATATGTTAACAGCACAGCCCTAACTTTAACTAGCTCAAATGAACATAGCACAACTTACTAAGCATACCTCAATCTAACCAAGACAGAGTTAACCTTAATTTCACATATCTACATCTTACATCGTTCCTTAAAATGGCCAACCCTAATTTCAAAAATTAACCCAATGTGAACCAACTTCACATAATCCAGTGCAACCCAAATCAAAGTAACATAACTTTACCTAATGCAAGTTCATTTATCCCATCTTCCCAAAATCATATCCAACCTAACTTAATGCAACCCTGGAAGACCTGAAAGCACATTCAGAGTTAATGTTCTTCCAAAATGCGCGGAAACATACCATTCTTTAGAAAGGTCTGATCAGATGTGTAACCTGAACACTGCATATCAAATCCCACTGCAAATGTCCATGGTCTTCACCCTTTACTGCTCTTTCCCATGCCTGCTGGATTATTGATAATGTAAAATGTGAAACTTTCTGCCCAAGGCTTGTGCATGTATCTGAGTGCAACCCAATGGGTGGCTAGTGGGCAGTCAACTGCTTTCTCTACTTGGGCCTGCCTGTTGATTGGTGGATCTGTATTGTTTGATTAACCTAAGCACCAGATCCTAGGACTGACCTAGGATGAAATCACCTTCCCTGTTGAACTTTCTGGGATGAAGCTTGATTTCAATGGCCTCTTTTATTAAGTGATCCATGCATCCTGTGGCCTTATCAAGAACCGAGATATTGCTGAAGTCAATGTTATGCCCTGTTTCAAATCTATGCTATGCAACAGCGAACTTCTCAGGGTGGCCTAGTCTGGTTTCAATGGATCTGCCCTTCTGTTAAATATAAACTTCACTGCATTCACATGACACGCGGTACACACCTGCAGTTTTCGGCATACCACACCTTGGACACCAGTGAAATGTACCAATAAACAGTAATCATTTAATATGTTACACTGATCATAATGCAATGTATCTCTGGTGGCAACTGCAGCTGGAATCTCTTAAGTTTTGCTCCTTTGGAGTTGAAAAATAAACCACATTAATGAAAACCCAACTACTGTGAATTAAAAACTCTATTCATTGTTATTTGATTTTTCACAGTTGAATTAAGAATGATCTTATATAATGCAATAAGATGCCTAAAGATTGCCGTCTTCTGAGTTGTAGCAATCTTCATACTCACTGCTGTGAAAACCTCAAATCCTTCACTATAAGATACCTGTGTAACATGACATTAAGACAACGAGCTTCAGATGTTTATTATTATATATACAGGGATCCATCTGCTGGACCTAAATAATGAAGGGATATTAGAATAACATCAATAAGAGTCCAAACTCCAAGCCCACCAAAACTGAAGAGTTTTCCAATCCCTTCTTGCCAGTGACCAAGATAAAACCTGAAAATAAAACAATGAATAAGACAGAAGTTACGGACAGGCAGCACTTGGTACATATAAGCCAACATAGCTGATTCAGTGAGCAAATCTGCTGATCTGATTACATAGGCAAGGATAACGGGAACATTTATCTGTCAGTTGATGCAGAATAGCTCTTAAGCCAATGGATTCTGAGGGTTATTATTCTTTTTGTTTGTTTTTAAATTCTTTCGTTCAACCTGAAGGATATGTGGGGGGGAAAAAAGGATGCTGTGTCGTGCCACCTCAGGTCTTTGCACACAATTACTAGAATCTTCCGGCTGGTGTGCTGAAGGAAGTCAGAATATAGAGAAAGTTTGAGAATGGCTACTAGATCTATATAAGGCTAGTTACTCTGGCCAAGAAAGTCAATCATGCGGAAACAAGTGAACTCAGAGTATGTGAGAGCAGAAAACAGTACTGTGAAGAGTGCTGTTATCAACTTCACAAAGGGAGTCTTAACAAGTGGGCAGTTATAACCAGTGTAAAGTCTGGTCATCTACAACTGAGACAGTGATTTGTAAACTGATAGAGTATTAATCAAGGAAATAATTAATTACAATAATGTATAGAACAAATCTAGTTTTCACACCATAATCACTGAAAATCCATTACAATATGATATTGTTTCCTACCATTTTCCAGTAAAATCATAACCATGATATCTGGGAGAAAATATGAACTCTAAACAAATTAACTATGGAATCACACTTGTGCAATTATCTTGAACACCAGGATATATAATCCAGCAATCGCACATTGCATAATGTCATGACTCTTCGCGTCTCATTACGTGAGCTCCTGTCTTGATTTTACAACCTTATGTCTGGAGGAATGCACTTTTATTTCATAAATTGGTCATGACACCACTGAGAATTAATTGGAATAATCCACTTTCTAGCCCTTACTTCATTGGTAGTCAATAATATCTTACTTTAAAAGAGAACATTTAATGAAGCACAAGACTTATTGCATCAAGTGTAGGAAACAGTAAAGTTGTACATGCCCTCTGCCAGTCACCACCACCAACCTACAATTGGAAACAATTTCATACCCGATGGGCATACCTACCTTATAAGTGAATTCTTTAGCTTCCTCCAGGCAGGTAGAGGTCAGACCGGTCATTAGGCATTAGAAATAGCAATAAAACCAGAAGTAGAACTGCTTATGTTAAGCAGGCATACTCACTACTTTAACCTTACCTGTCAGCCCCAAATCCTCCCAAAGTAATGCTGAGAAAAAGTGCTGTACTCCATTTGTAGCCCCCAGTCCAATTGCATGGAACATTCTTAAGGAATGTTCTACGCCCAAAGCACAATACCTCACTTTTCACTGTACAGTTTGTCCTGGAAGGCAAAATGAAAACACAGGGAAAGATAATTATACCATTCAATCTAAAAAGTTTTAAAGAAACATACCTAAAAGGTTATATTTTAAGTACTACATAGTAAGTCTGCATAGCCTAAGATTTTATAATGTTATCAGGTTAGAATTCCATTATAAGATAATTTCATATTTCAAGAGACACGAAAAAATACACTAGTACAAAAATAATTTTACAGGTACTCAACAGATGGTGTATAAATATAAAAATCATATAGTCCGGCCCTATTTAAGAACCACTCTTGTCTACAACAAATACTGGTGTTAAAATGTGAATATCGGAAAACTAAAATTTTTATTTTTTAGGTGTACTTACATTATTTAATGTATTCAAATGCCATATTGTGTGCAAAATACTGCAGTTACACCATTGTTACCCAGTTACCTGTAATATGCTCGAGGTGATGAGATAGACTTGCATTTAGCATTGTATGTGCACACATGTTCCCAGTTCTCCGTCTGATAGCAGTATCGACACAACAAACTGCGCTCAAATGTTTTTCTTCCCTAGAAAAATATAAGAGAACTTAACATAGCAAAACTCAAATAAAAATGTTTTCAAATATGGACCTACAAAATAAATTTTCATTACAAACACAGAATTTGCTGACATGCTACATGTGAATCTTTCTGGAAACAGAAAAATGAGATGCATGCCTTCTGTGGCAGCAGTATGAGTCGAGAGAAGAGTGCTTATGAAGATTACATTCTGTAGCTTTGATTTAACTAGAACACATCTATAATTTTATTTTCTAAGTTTCAAATCACCTCTTGTGCTTGTGGTCAGATAAGACACTAAAGTGAGATTTCACATTCTCATGACAATGACTACAAAGATGACTGTATTCTGGGTTGTTGAACTATGTACTCTGGTAGAAGTTTACCAATGTTTCAGACATGCTTGCTTCCTGCATCATCAGGGTGGTAATGATGGAGGTAGCATGCACCTCTGAAATGTCAGTAAATTTTTACCAGAATAGGTGCAACAACCCAGAAGACAGTCATTTTCTGACTTGAGACTGCATACTCAATCATACAGTCTAATGTGTCAGTCAACAATATCTGCCTACTTGATGTAATCACGCAAGCTGTAAATAAAACATACATATCTTGTATAGCCCTTACAATCTGGAATTACGTGATGGATCTGGAGATATTAATTGTAATGAACTAGATGATTTTATGTGCACTGAATTTTACTGTTTGTGTACCATTATTATATATGATGCACTGTTCTTCATATTGTTTGTGAACAAAGATGGCTATAGCTACCAGCCTACATGGTGGTACAATCCAGAAGACAGCTACCTCTGGAGTCACAAGTCATTAAAAACTCAAATCCCTCTGTTTGTGAACAGATTTACAATTGTCATCCAAGCATGTGCCTTCATATGCAGAGAGAATAATTCAGAATATGCTGTTACCTGTTTTATACTAATTTGCTTCAAAACTCTAAAGGGTTTTAACAATGGTGTCTTAACATTAATTTGTTTTTAAGCCGCCATCCAGCATACTAAAATAATGCCATGACAACTCAGGGACTGGCTCTGTTGCTGTCATAAGGTGACACAACCTACTCTACTATACTAAAAGGAGATAATCCCAATCTCTAAGAACTGTACTGGACTGATAAACGCCCAAATTACATTTACCAAAAAACTTTTACTTCAGATCCTAAACAGAAAATCTCTCACAAAATTCTACTCAGTAGGTCTGGAAATTATACATGCAGATGGACAGACAGAACTCTATATTACACATTCATTTTCTACCATATAAGCAAAGAATGCCTAATAAGAAATCAACGAAAGCATAATTAAGGTAGTATACAGTCTAATGGGCAAACAGTGTTAAGCTACCTGAAACAACAGTACTGCTTGGGACAGGAATGTTTTGTCTTGTGATAACACAATTCTTATAAACTGACGGATCCCCAAACCAAGAACCAGTGACCGAACATGATTTCAATAGCCTTCCAAACCTAATCTGACCTAACCTCACCTAAACTAACCTAGAGACAGTCAAAAGTTAGCCTGTAGCATAAAGAAGAAAAGTATAAATCAAGTAGTACTTACAGTGCAGTTTACTATGGCACGGCAAGTGGCATTCACAGGACTTCCATATATACAAGACTCATTGAAGGCACATTTAATACAAGGGTCTCCTAATTTAAAACATTCAATATCAGATGGACAGTTTGACTTTTCCACCTAAAATAAAACGGATACTATTAATAATTAATTTATATATTAAACATCACACTCTTTGTTTCTTAGTATATGCATCTATATGAGAAATTCCATTCACTGACAGTGTGAGGGAATGGAAAGAAAAACATTGCATAAAACATCTTTATATATAGTTTGTCCTATTACGATTCCACTTTGTATGAAGGTATTTCCACATGTTGCCTATTTTATTTTCACTTTTAAAATAAAAATTTATCATTTCTGTATTCACAATTCAATTATGAAAGTCACAACCCATGAGACTTATTTCATTCCAGAAGTAATTTCTTGTTCTCCTAAGCAGAGTGCTCAATCTTTTAGGCAAACAGGCCACACCAAAAGATATAATGCAATACAAGGACTGAAGCATTCAATCAACTCTAACCAACACAAAACTGAACAATACAATAAAAACAGCCTTAACTTACATTATTAATGTGAAACTTGGGCCCATTCTGCTGTGCAAAGAATTTAACATTTGTTTCCATTTTTGAAATGTAAATTTGTAACATGTTATGTTAGCTGCACAATGGTGATTTCTGAATGGAACTTAATTTATTTTGTTTTGTACATAAAAAAGTTTGTTCACATGTGTATGTGCTACCACTTGCCAAATTTCACACTAACCTACATAATTCCGAGAACCAAGATACTGGTAAAAAGCATAAAAGGTAATTATACCTTCCTGGTTGAGTCAGTCAATTCATATTGACATTTTTGTGAAGAATCAATGAAATCAATGCGAAATGTTTTTTCAAATAGTGTGCATTCGTAACATGGCTACAAAAGTAATTCAATCTCATTTTAAAGTTCTCAGCCAATGAATCAATCATTTCTATACCATGGACATTTGGAAGGAAACACTTACTGATTCACTCTTATAAAGAAAGTCACAGAATAAAAATTACACAGGTTAACATTTTATAACCATTTTGGCTTCATTCCAAATGCTTTGGAAAACAAAAAATTTCAGAAATGAGTTTCTATTGACCTTAGAGGTTTGTTATGCAAGTCATTTATGTGGTGGCAGGCATCACATTGTAATTCCAAATCCCAAAGAAATTTTTCATATTAATTAATAGTTCTTTCACATTTTCATAACCTGATAATATTTCTTACAATTCTAAGAAAAACTGGAACACTGATTTATTTAAATTACTTACACTACTACGCTTTTGTAACAGATCATGATGTAAATCTTTCAAAGTATCATTGTCACCTGAAATTATAGAACAGAAAGCATACAATGTAATAACAACTATAGAAATCTCTATATTTGTACTTGATGACAACTAAACTGCTGATCTGAAACAGCTCATGGCACAACACTACAGCAACATTCATGGAGTTAAATTTATGCAAACCTTCATCCATATGAACATGCAGAAACTTATAAAACAATAGGCTAACCCATGTATAATTGATATTTTACTTAGGTCTATCATAATCAAAGTCACATAGCTCCAATTTCTATGTGAAATCAGGTTTCACATATCTTTACAATGCAGCAACCAGTTGCTTTGCTGAGAAAAATGACAAATATTATGGCTAGCAATCTTGAAACACATATTAGGAGACAGAATAAAAGCAATGGATACACTGAAGCAGATTATTAGGCCTAGTCACTACATTTAAACCTCAGTTATGGCAAAGAAATGCGTGCAAAGTGCTTCCTTGTATTTATCTACTATATCTTCATAAATACAGCAGCCAAAAACACGTGAAGTTAGCTGCAAAACCTTTTCTTCAATAAATATTATAACTTACTTGATTTAGACTGATTTACTCCATTCAGTATGACAACAAATATAATATATATAACAGATCGAATATTTAATTCAATGCAACGCATTGTATTTCCCAACGGTCATAATCATCAGTTATACGATGTAGAAATATACCCAATACAACAAAACTAATTTCTTCTCTTCAGAATACATTGCAATTGCAACCGTAAATGACTGATTTGGTACCTATGTATGTAACCTACATGAAATATTTGCGGACTGTATCACTTACGGAAACCAGAGATTATAGCATGGAATAGTATATTTCTGGAGGTGAGAAGAAACTAGCACAATGTAGAGAGTTTGCTCAGTGAGAAATAATATTCCTTGCTGAAATTTTCACGTATCTACGTAATCCGCCACTGAAAGTTGCGATACCTATACCACGAACTACCAACAGCAATTTCTTGTCCTTTTTACACTTTAAATTTGGCGAATTATACCTTATGGGCCCGTTCACGTCGTGCTGCTACCTATCAATGGAAAAACTAACTACAAGTAACGGAAGAACGGCCGTTAGTATTTTCGCTTAATTTGGTACGGAAATTGTTTCATTTTGAATCCCCGGCCTTTGCACAAACGGGCATGCTCCCCATCGATTTAGCAGTTCCCTGGGCTTCTACCATTTCAAGCTGGTTCAACCATGCCACAGGAAAAAACACTGCTGCCAATGGGCTTGGCTAACCAGTGAGTGATGCCAATTCCAGGGAATCCCTGAGGTAATGTCCCACTCACTCTTACTGGGGGTCTCAACACCCAGGCCTTTGGTGTCCTTACTAAGGCCTAGCCCTCTGGACTTCCTCTCCTGTGCTTATCCCACTCAAGCTCGCAAAAACACACAGTTTACCCTCTGATTGTAAGACCACCAGATGGGTTTTCTACTGATATATTGGTAAGCACCTATCTTTACATCCCAGAAAACCATTATCTCTCACATGTCCTCCATGCGAGCTGCATATCCCATACCTTCTTGATCCAAACATACATCTTTACACAAAACTATTTTAGTGAGCAATATTTATTAAAACCAAACAAATCAAAATATATCCATACATACAAGTAAACTGAATGAAATAATTAGTAAGCAGTATTGCACTATACTGGTAATGTATAAAGAATACACATGCATATTAAAAGCAGTAAAATTTTACAAAATTAAAATGTAACTAAACACATTTTATAACAACCTATATACAGTAGAAGATTCTTACATTTTCTCATTATAGAACTAATTTTACAGGATATATAAAATCTTGAATAACTGGAAGTGACTACACAATGCAATATAAAATATAAAGATTATTTGTAAGACTTGATTATTTATTTAACATTGTTCTAACTTCCAGTTTATTCTTAAACACATTAGACTTTAACAAAGTTACTAACAATTAGCAAGTGTAGGACTTTCAATCTGCATAAATAAAATCTTACCACATTCTTACCTTTGCAATATCATAATTTATATATAAAATGGCACTTCTAAAAAAAGCTACACACATTTTTCACGTAACTTCACTATACACTTAATTAAATACAAACATACACACACACACACTGTCAGAATGAAATAAAAGAATCTAGAAATTTTAGTCATTACATGTTGGTCAGAAATGCAGTGACTTAAATTATATTAAATATACTGTGAAACCTGCCTAAAACATTACCCAGATTGAGAAAAACCTGTTATCAGAAAATTTCTCCGGTCCCAAGACTACAGAATATAAATTCAATGTTGTCATTCTTCCACTGTGATCTTACAAAAGCGTTACATCTTTCAACAACGACCTCAGGTCATTCTTGCACTGTGATCAGAGGTCACATTGTTGCAAAAAATGCAGAACAGAGACAGACATGGATGGGCTTATAACATCTTTTTCCCTTATGTGAAAAAGTAAATAAGTAAAATAGAAAAAGAAAGGGAAAACAATAGTCATGGAAAACAGCCAGCCTGAATATTTATTTTGTTTATTAATAATTTATGGAAACAGACAAAGGGACAGAATTATTCTGTTCCCTAATCTGTTCCAGGAATATATTATCTGTGAAGGAATATTCCCGCCATGTACATAAAAGAATTAAGCTCAATCAATAACAAGATATGGGCAGAATACTTTAATAACCTACTGACAAAAGATTCCTCATGAACCTGCCCAAAATAATTAAAATGTTTTGCTAAGTATCAATGTACTGAGCATATCAGCATGAATTTATGATTATGATATGGACATACAAACAGGGTATGTATATACTATGCTATAGTTGTCATCTAGAAGTAACAATCTGTGCTAAGCAGAGAACTTTCCAGATACTCAGAGATTCCACTTTAAGCAGGTTTAACTGGAATAAAATGCGCAAAACTGCTGAAAATCACAGAAAAGAAACAAAGCATGAGATCAAAATATTCAAAATATCTGTATATAACAAAGCAATTAACAAGAAAATTCCTTTTATACAACTGTGGCACATATGAATACAAGCAGGCCATGCATATTTGAAAAATAATATGATCAAATTAATTCTTTAGATATGGAGTTTCATTTTCATAGCTATGAAATGGTAGCATATACATTTGTCACTTTTAAAAACTGAACACAATGTTTGGCAGGTTGGTCAGGATAGCTAAGTCAGTATAGTGACTAGCTACGGGCTGGACGGCCGGGGTTCGATCCCCAACGGGGGCAGAGGATTTTTCTTCTAGCCTCTGCGTCCAGCCCGGCTCTGGGGCCCACCCAGCCTCCTCTACAATGGGTACCGGGGTCCTTTCCCGGGGGTAAAGCACGGCCGGGGCGTGATGCTGACCACTCACCCCCATCTAGTGCCGAGGTCAAGAATGAGTAGGAGCTATATCTCCACTCCCCCCAAGCGCCTACACGGCATATAGTGGGACAGCTTTACTTTTTACACCCACATTATTGTTATCCAGATAACAACTGCTCCCTAAAAAGTACATAGTCCTGAGTAAGTGGGTACTAAAGGGTTATAAGCAACGGATTCTATACCAGTGCCACTAGCATTAATAAGATGTACCTGAAAAGTAAACATCTAACTTATCCCACCTATCTCAACAAATCATGGTCTACTGTGACATTTAAATTAGTCAGACTCTGCAGTAAAAGAAATATATAGTTTGCCATGACACCTTAATACTAGAGCTCTGTATATCCAAAATCTCATATTTACCAAGTCTATGGCATATAATCCTATTTCAGCACAGCCATCAAATTCCTTATTATTACAGAAACTGAATATTCATCACAAAAACACTATTGGATCCCATACTGTGCCTGAGCCACTTCAATCCAGTTCACATCATCACAACTTAAGACTCATTTTAAAAATTGCAATGCCTCAATTTTCCCTTTAAGATTTTCAACTAAAATTTTGAATGTATTTCTTGTTTTCTCAATACATCTACATAATTTAAGCCCTCTAACAATATAAGGTGAAGAATACAAATTATAAAGGTCCTTATTAAATCATTTTGTTCACTCAAATGTTGCATGTAATTCTTTAGAAACAAATACCATTCTCAGCAGAACATTTTAATACCTCCTAACCTTACATGTTTCCTAATATTTTATATGCCAGATTTTCAAAGCCAGTATTCCACATGACCCTGTAAGATTAATGTAAGAACAAGAATAAAAAAGGTTGTATTCCAGTGCATTATACATATTTTATAAATGAGTCTATGTGATTTTGTATCTGTCAGTTGCTTCCATGGTCATTTATTCCAAATACTGTGCAAATATAATGCTGATAAAGTTCTTGCATAGAGGCACACATCACTTTTACTTTCTTTTCATACAATGTATATCATACCAAAAATGTTTGAAATAAAATATATGTACCTTAATAAGAACCTTAAAAATTGATGTTATATATACATTTTTTGTAGAATGAACCATTCTTAATAAATCATATAATGCTTGCCTTGCTTGCACTACTGTGGACAAACACACACTCAAATTAAATTTGCCTGACAACATTTGGTGTAGATTTATAATTCTAAACTCAACTGGAATAAGTAAAGTGGTTTGGAAGATGTACAATGCAGATGGATGAACAGAATGTATAAAATTCAAACTGATTGCAACAAATATTACTACAATTTAGTCCATATTTGAGGTTTTGGTGACTACAAAACATTACAGTACACTGCTGTCTAGTTAATGAATGCAACAAAGTTTTCCTCTACAGACCAAACAGAAATTAGCTTTAAAATGTAATCAAACAGTACGCAAAATCAAAAAATTATCTTTACAATGTAATCAAACAGTACGCAAAATCAATACAGCTCATATAAAGTTGAACTCTCAATTTTACTATATTTGTTGAGACAATAAGACACACTACAATTTCAAAAGCAAATATTCAGAAGAAAAAATATTTTCATGAATACACAGTACTCTATTTTTACTCAGATGAGTATTATAATGGAAAACCACAAGAAGAATATATGTATGAAAATATTTCTAATACCAGACCATGGCTACTGCCACTAAAAAATATTATAGTATTTTTCAGCGGAATTGGCGGCTGGGTCGAGTTCTGCTCTTTGTGAGTGACCAATCAGCGCAAAGAAGGTCTGTTGGTAAGCAGGGAGACCTCAGTCTGTTCAGAAACCCCGTGGTAGAAGCATCGGCAGCTGCACTGCGTTGTTGCCAATTATTATATGTTCTTTGCACAGTGTTGTAACCATTCACTGGAAACCACTGTTCCACGATGCTACATCTGGCACCACTCTATGTTGTTTCTTCACTATCTAGCCCCACCGCCTCCCATCACTACTTCCTACCATGGCACAGTACATGTGATTGGTGCACGCTTCAGCCGCCAATTCCGCTGCAAACTGTTATAACATGCGTGTACCATAATTTTTCAGTTCACTGTACAGTAAACTCCCAATTACTAAATGTGTGTGGATCATCGAGTTTGTGGATTATTTGTGCATGACTATCTGTTACAAAAATGCACAAATGTGAATTACGCTTTCATATTCTTTCCATGCTGTACTCTCTACTTTGCGCATGGTTTCTGGAGAAGATATGAGTGAACAGTTCCTTTTTACATTCTTTAGGGTCAGAATTGGTGGTGGGGTGAGTGTTCGAATGACCATGGAGGTGGACAGAGAGGATGTTATGGGTACTTGCTCTTTTTTAAGTATTAATGTCTTACAGTCAATCCTGTTATGTTATGGTGTGGGTCAGGTGAAAGTGATAGAGGTCATCTGCATGAAGAACTGATTTCAGTTCTAGCTTGAGCTCATCCACTGCAGGTCCCAGAGCATGTCAGGTCAGACGGTTACAAGCTATGGAACTGTGAAGATCACTTTGTGTTGCCTGGAATCACCCTAACAAAAGGCATTTTCAGAAATTTGTCATCCGATTCAAATTTGGATAAAAACCATGAAGATGAGGATGAAAATGGAACTGATGGAACAATCCCCTTTTCATTAGACTCCAATTGAAGAAATATTATTATTTTTACTGAAAGACAACACAAGTCCCAGCCACTTTGCTCCCTGCTGTGCCCACATAAAGCCTTAAATGTACAGAATGTGCAGACTATTACTATAAATCTGCAACTGCCTTCTAACATCACTTTGCGGCCATTCATCAACGTACCTTTGTCAACATTTTCAAAACTTCTCATAGCCCACACCATGTCAAGAATTTTGGACTTTGACATTCTAAAATTTTCCATTTAATTTGAGCTTTTGTTTTACTGTCAATACGATTTTATTGTGGTTTTCAGACACTTTACTTAGGATCTGAAAGTGTGAAATGGACTTCCAGCACATGATAGACAGACACTGTTAGTGCTGCCACGAAACAAAAGAAAAGAAGAGAAGAGGACAGTGAGGAATGAGAGAAGGAGGAGAAAGTAGTGAGTGCATCATAACAGCATGGCATTACAGTGTGTTGACATTTTCTAGATTACACGAGTCAGTAAGGGTTTGAATGCAGTAACACTGGCAATGCCAGGAAAAAGGACAAGTCTAAGCAGTTCAGAAAAGTAGTAACCACAAATGTCAGTTGTGTTAAAATAAAATGTAAAGTAACTTGTGATGTTTTTAACGCACCAAACAAAATACTTTGGGTTATCAGTGTTTTTCAATTATTCATACATCTTCTCCCCTTCATTAGCCCTGGATACTTGGGAGTTTACTGTATCTACAACACAATCCCACGCCTTTGGTATAAAACAGTGATATTCGGGGTGAAATCTCGAGTTCCACATATAAATTTGAGAAATTCAACAATTACAGTAAATTATATTAATTTACCAAGCTGTCACTGAAGATTCTTAAGAGAACCAAACAGGCATGAGCTGAATAACAGTAAAAAAATTATACACTGGCTTGAGTAATAAAGCAAAACAAGAGGGGGGAAAATATACACACAGCGTAACAATTCTGGTGTGTTCACTGGAATTTTACCTTGTGAATGCTGCCAATGAGATCACAATTATCTGGAGTCAACAGCCTTTGGTTGGGTAAGGGTGGGGTGGGGGTGGGGGGTCTGGTATCTGGCTGGGTGACATCAAGGATAATTTTGCCTTGTGGCTGTTCACCTGGCTAGGAATTCTCTACATGGATGTTCCCCACCCTGTTAGTTTCACGCACAGAAATAAATATACTGTACACGTGAGTAAATTAAGTCCCTGCAACATATGCAGCTTGGGAAGTCACGCGCAAGACTAATAGCAAAACTGAAAAAAACGTGCTTGTTCAGATTTCATGTAAACTTTACTGGTAATACTTTATAACACTGAAAGTTATAAAAGAGGAAAAATAAAACAAACAACAGTACTATGAACAGTGGGAAGCAACAGAGACATGTGAGAAATATATTTGTACTAAAGAGTCAGGAATAGAGGGGTTACACACGCACACATCACTTGCCTACTGCGCAACCTACATCACACGCATTTCTTGCGTACTGTAGGTCTTCATGTAGAGTGCCCACTGTCTTTCTATTTAAAAAAGAAATGTGCCAAGAAATTTTAGTAACTCTTCAATATGAGATTTAATAAACATATGTTCAGCATTTCTTGACAAGTTATGTGCATACAAACAAACATGGTAAAGTTAACAGGCATATTTATACGACGTTTAGTTGTAAACACACCTGAAAAGACCCCAAGAGAAAAGAATGAGATAGATATAAATAAAGGATGGAAATGAGAGATGGAAGGATTGTAGAACTGGTTATCAAGTTATATGATAGTGCTGTTCCAACTGCAGAAGTTATATAGCACTGATGAGATAAATATTATTGTGAATGGTAAGGTTAGGATATGTTAGATTGTGGATGTGACCTATTACAAGGTACTCTGTTGGTATTCATCTGAAGCAAATGAGGAAAACTATAATTGTGACAGACACTATCCTGGCCAAGATATGAACCAGGTACTCTTGAATACAAGTTTAGAGCAGGAAGTGATTCTAAAACCTCAGTGGGGGCAAAAGAGAAAGATGGAAAAATTAAAGGAAGTGTCAGTGGGTGGATAACATGTAACAGATGGTTGGGGAGGGAGAGATGCACAGATGGACAAGAAAGGAAGGAAGAAAGGATACATATGGCTCCATGACATTTAGTGATCACACCTGTAACAAAATGAATCACATTATAATGGTTAATGACTCTAATAATAACAATTTTAATGCTTTATAGCACCTTAACAATGTTAACAAACTTGTTTACTGTAGCAATAAATAAATTGGTACTACATTAGGCCAGTGCTCAAAATGGACTGAGTGTAATACAGAATACTACAAATAGCATCAGCAGTTGATACACATACTATACCTCATTACTGGAACTCACCACAAAATTATTGCAACATTCACTATTCTGCTTCATAGATACCAATTTTCACAACAGAAAAAGTATTTATTTTTGTTGTACGAGGGGCAGTCAAAAAGTTCCCGGAATTGTGGTATAGCACTGTAATGGTAGGACATATGGCAACGCTTCCTAATCATCTTCAAAGTAGGACCCTTGCGCACACACACACATTTGTTCCATCGATCCTGCCATTGTTGGAAGCACCGGAGGAAGGCTTCGTTTGGAATCTTCCGGAGTTTGGCCGTCACGTTCGATTTGATGTCGTCCATGGTTGCGAAACGCGCCCCCTTGAGGCCCATTTTCAGAGTAGGGAACAGCCAGAAGTCACTCGGAGTGAGATCCGGAGAGTATGATGGTTGGGTGATGACGGGAATGCTTTTCTCGGCGAGGAATTGCTGCACAACCAGCGAGGTGTCGAACGCGACGGCCGAACTCCGGAAGATTCCAAACGAAGCCTTCTGCCGGTGCTTCCAGCAATGGCAGGATCGATGGAGCAAGTGTATGAGTGCGCAAGGGTCCTACTTTGAAGGTGATTAGGTAAGCGTTGCCATATGTCCTACCATTACAGTGCTATATCACAATTCCAGAAACTTTTTGATTGCCCTTCGTATAACTATGTAATGGATTATATTTAGAATGAAATTAACCTTGCCATAAGAATATCAACCCTTTCACTGTTATGAACAGAACACTCCAAGTGTGTCTATTATGGACTAAATTGTTCTGCCATGTTTATGTAGGATTTGAGGTTTTCACGGTGGTGAGTCTGAAAAATGGCCGTCTTCTGGGTTGTTGCGCCGTGCAGTCTGGTAGATGTTTACTGATGTTTCAGAGGTCCTCGCAGCCTCCACCATTATCAGACTGCACAGCACAACAACCCAGAAGACAGCCATCTCTGTAACACATTTCTTCCAAGAAATTAAAAAAGGAGCAGAGAGAGACAAGAGTAACAAATTAATCATTTGATGAATATGCACACACTTCCATTTCTCAACTCAGGGTTTGCAAGCTGAGAAGATTCTGTTCATTCTATTTATTCTTTTGATGCTGTACTGCTCAATGTTGTAAGCATTTTTCTTCACATATTTTTACTTTGACACTGGAATAAAAAAGTGACAAAAGCCATACCTTCTATCTATAATTTAGTTAGCTGATGTCCCACTTGATAAAAATGTATGAGATAATTTTGGAGAAGGGTTCCAAAACACCAGAAAGACTGAGACAGGAGGGAGTCCACAGCCAGAAAGGCTGAGAAATACTGTTTTAGAACATCCATGATGTACTGCTGTGTTTGATTACTTAGCAAAAGTAATTAATGCAGAACTGGACTAAGTGTAGGCAAGGTAGGCAGCAGCCTAGCATACAATATGCAGGAGGCATGTGGTACATTTTTAGTATTACTTTTGTAAATAAACATATTTTTAATTCCAGAAATATCCACACTCACAATATGTAAGGATATATTCTGTGATGTCACATGTGTTAGTGAATGTTCAATCTCTGGTATTTGAGCGAATACTGGCTAACAGCGAAAGGGTTAAACCAATTCTAAAATAAAACACTGCTTATAAATCACGGTCACTGACTATGGTACCTCAGTTTTGGCTAGAGTCTGCGTTGCTGGTTCTGGTTGTTCTTCCTGCTGTGTTGAAGAAGCAGGTGTAAGGAGCAGTCCTCTTGGAGAAAATGTATCACAGTACAAATTCTCTTTCTTGTGCACGCGACGGACATGGGAACGAAGATTGTCTCGGCGAGCAGACCGGTACGCGCAGTGAGGACACAGATGTGGCTTCTCCCCAGTATGCATTCGTCTATGCTGAATCAACTACACAAACCAACACAAGGGCATGAAGCAGTAGCATATACTACATTCAGTATTTTGTTTCTTTCATTTTATACAAAGACTTACTATCTGGGGGGAGGGGGGAATCACACATATTTTGTTATTAATCAAAGCCTGAAAATAACCAGGGATGAACTGGAAAGTAGAAGGAACAATGACAGTTCATAAATTATACTTAATAATAAATTCTTAAGTTCATCATAAATATAATTTATATATTTATGTGGTAAAATAACATATTTAAGTTTATAACAGCCAACATAATTCCTTAATATTAAGATTTCTGTCTTCTGGGTTGTTGCGCTGTGCAGTGAATATTCATCGCCCTGATGACGGAGGCAGTATGACCTCTGAAACGTTGGTTAACATTGACCAAACTACACAGCGCAACAACCCAGAAGACAGAAATCTTCTACTCACCACTGTGAAAGCCTCAAATCTTACATTCCTTAATATTATTTTTGGCTTCTCTATGTGCTATTTACGAACTTCTATAGCTTTATCAAGTGCTGCCATTATGTGAATATTAACACAGCAGCAACTTTCCAAACATTGCTTGTCCATACTGTATTCCTTTCTTTAATGACACTTTATCAATTGTATGTTATAACATCAACGTCCAGGATGATTATGAACTGGGAAGGGCACGAAGGGAAGTTGTCATGTCCTAGTTTAGCAACACGCAACTTTGTGGAAGCTAATTCTGATTCTGTCATCAGCTGAAACTGTAGAACCTAGCCAGCTGAGTCCATTGGAGATATTCATATTTTTTTTAAATTTCTTTAAAATTAAAAGACAAAGGAAAATGTCCAAAAATGTGCATCAGTTTATCTACAGCACTCACCTTTTTAAGCTGCACTGTCCTAAAAATGCATATATCACAACAGAAGTATCTGTTGTCTCGATGCCGCCTCATGTGCTTATTCATTTCCACTTCTGTAGGCCTATCTTTGCCACAAATAACACATGAAATTTTAACTGATGGCACATTCAGCCCCAGCGTATGCAGTTTCAGGTGTTTATAAAATGCCTTTTCAATTGTACATGTGTAAGCACACATTTGGCAACGATACTCTTCCCTCTCATATCTACAAAATGGAATAACCATTAGTTTATGGCACATTAATAAAATAAAAGTACATACTTCTACAACAAAGCTAATATTATTGTCTGTGAATCACACCAGATTTTTATTCATAAATATTATTCATACTGCATACATTCATTTCAATCATAACTACATATGTTTATAAAATTATTACTTGATACATTTCAGTTCACAACTTACCACAAATTTCTTGAAAATTTGTTTTAATATTACTTTCTTATCAAAGTGTAAGTCCGAAATGGTTCCTTTCTTTCAAGTTTTCCAACCAACAGCTATGCAATTAAACAGCAGCATTTAATAAACCCAGACTCAATCATTTAATCAATGTATACTCTTTTAATACACGCTAACATCACTTCTGAGACAACTTTAATGCTACAATCCATTACTGAAACCCAACCTGACTCTCTGAAGAGACACTGGGCCTGCACGTTTCTTTCCTGTGGGACTGTATCCTTCAGCAACATGCCTTGCTACATGAGCTTCAAGTTCGTCCCTTTCTGAAGTATGGAAGCGACACGATGCCATTGGACATGATGCAGACATCTTGCTCAGTAGTGCATGAGCAAGATTGGAATCTGCTCCGGGAGCTGGATGGCAAATAGCTATGTGCTTCTTCAAGCTTGGCCGAGTGTCAGCCACAAGACTACATTCTCCACACTCGTATCCGGTCCTGCCTCCACTGCTAGCAGTTTTATGTGCTGATCTGTAACAAATTGTACCAACAAAATCTCTTGACATGAATGTGATATCATTCACTTACTGAACATACCACAGCCTCTGAAGAATTGATTTTGCCAATTTTGTGGGTTCCTGACAGACCTTCAGGGGTAACATGGTGGCACTAAGAATGAAGTTCCTACTTCACCCTACTTAGCTTCCTGTGATGATGATGAGGCTGGATTTGAGAGATTTCAAAAAAGATTGAAGTTTATAAAATATATTATCTGGATGAAGAGATGGATGAAAATTATATGGAGATGGCTGTCTGCTGGGTTGCAGCACTGTGTAATCTAGTAGAATTTTATCAATGTTTCAGAGGTCCTTAATGCTAATGTTGTAAATAAACTCTGATCCTAGTTAAAATTTAAAATATTTCACCATGCTAACTAAACAAAGGTATTATACTGAAATAGCATCCAAGGTCACAAAAAAGTCAAACATGAGCTGCATGTGGAGCGCAGATCATGTAGAGACTACGGCTGTTCTGTTGCAAAGGATTAAACCCCCTGAAATATTCTGCATACTCCACCAGGCTCATGATCCGCAGTTTGGGAAATACATTATCTACATCTTGTTCCTGATTTGTGGGCCTACCAGGCACTCACACTGTTGACACATTAACACCAGCTTACATTTCATAGATACTTCTGTATTTTTATAAGAATTCTGTCCATTTGGTGTTCTGCCTGTGTGTCACCCCACGTCGACAAGTTGCTCAGTCTTAAATACCATTAAAGACCAACACTTAAGTTACCCAATTCTTTCATTTTAATGGCAATATTTCAACTTATGAGGTGATATAGCATGAAATTAGATTGAAACAGTATCACAAAAAGTGTGGACTGGAAGGATGCTTTCGTCCCATTCCAAAGTACTATACTTGCAGCCACCTGAAGAGACTGAAGAAAAGCATGCCACATATTAGACAGGACCAGTAAACCAATCAAGATCTGATTCGGGTTTTACCTGAATGAAAGTCTAAGAGCGTTACACAGCGATATGTCAGTCCAGCATGAATATGTTGTTTATTTTTCTGTTACTATAAATTTATAAATACACAAATGAATTTAGAAACCTGTTAGCTAATGATGACTGATTGCTGTAACTATCGCCTTCTCCAATATCATTATCATTGTCATCATCATCTTCTTCTTCTTCTTCTTCTTCATCGTCATCATCATCAGATGCTTCTGACACTGCATCCAGGTGTTTATTACTCAGTCTACCAAACATCATACTGTACATGGGATTATACTGTTGGTTCAGATACTGCATTGTACTCTCAGTCTTTAAATTTCGATTCCACACACTGTCAAAGCTATCGCTTCTGCCGATAGCAGCGAAGTTCTTCCTTTGATGTTTGGGAGATTTCAACTGCAAGCAGACCAAACAAATGGATGAAATGTAAACAAACGACTCATTAATGGGTTTAGAGCTAACTGCAACTGTTAACGCATTAAATATCTATATATATAAAAAAAGGCCTATTCCATACTAAGTTCATATTTATCAAATGTCCCCTTAAAAGATTAAATGCCTTATCAGCTGAGATATTTATTAAAATTGCATTCATTCTTCATAATATTAAATCAGACATATTTTAATAATGTACATCACATACCTTTTTATTCCTATATTCTGTCCCCATTTACATGAAATAATATTTAAATTTCTAATGAATAAAATGTGTAGTAATTCACCTTACCTTTCAGCACCTTTTCAATAAAAACTTGTTTCAGTTATTAATATCAATAACTACCTATTTCTTCCAATAATGTATTTATCACATGCTTATGATAATCTTCCTTAGAAACTGCATCTACATAAATATTCACATGACAAATAAAACTTTTTCAATCAAAATTTGTGTATTTTAACGAGATCTGTATTTTATACAAAAAGGCATTTGTCAAAATTAATTAAAATTAGATTTAAACTTCGTGTAAAGTGAAGTTCACATTTCACCAACACAAATAAAAATTTAAAATCTTCCATGAACTGTTTAGTGTAGACCTAACAATATGAAATTTAACTGAAGTCTTTTGAGTAGTTTCAGTGAAGTGACATACATAACCCTCCATTTTTCATTCATTTTATACACTTTCTGCAGACGTGTAACTGGTAAAAAAGTACATAAAAAAAGCATTCTAGCCCTTGGTATTGGTACTAAAATAGGGGGGACTTCAGTCATCCCAGGCACTCTGATAACTGCAGGATCCATTCTGTACCCCTATTCCTGTTCTAGCCCTTTGAAAGGATCCTTAACACACTGCTTGAGACAGCAAAAATCTGATTGACATCCCCCTAATATTTACCACCTAGAGCCATGCACAGCCAAAGATCTGTAAACCATGCCTAGCTAGGGTTCAATCACTGAGGGCAGAGGATTTTTCCTCTAGTCTCTGTATCCAGACCGGTTCTGGGGCCCACCCAGCCTCCTATCCAATGGGTATCGGAGTTCTTTCCCGGGGGTAAAGCCAGGCTGGGACGTGACACTGAACACTCACCCCCATCTAGTGCCAAGGTTAAGAATGAGTAGGGGCTATACATCCTCCCCCCCCTCAAGCGCCTACATAGCAAACAGTGGGACAGATTTACTTTTATTTTCCATCTAGCTAACACTGGGCACTGAAAGAATATATGGTATGAGGATTCCTTTTCCTGTTTATATTTCCTGCATTTGGTGCCTCCTCAAAGTGCAACAGGTATTTAACAACAGATACTGATTTCTGCTTCTGGAAGGTGAGGATTCATGGAAATTCCCCTTTGCTGTCCAACCTTAACTTAAAAAAGGAAGGACACCACTTGGAGCAGCCAGGAAAACATGGAATGATAATGCCAAAATAAATTTTAGGCACATCAGGCTGTGCGCTGATTCATATGGCTCTGCCTGCCTGCACACATACACAAAACCATACACACAAAATAAGATAAAAAATTAATAAACTGTTAAATCTGAAAGTTTAGCCACAGGACACCTAAAACATAAGTTCACACTATAAACCATGTGACTCAGATCACAAAGAAAATAAGAAACAAAATAACAAGCGTAATCTGATAAAAACAAATTCAGAACAAACAGGTCTGATTCAGATAATACTCTGTAACAGCCAAAAGCAAGTAAAAGTTATAATACACAAAATCCTTATATTTAACTACGTGGAAGAAAATTCTGTGCATATATTCTGAAATTTAAAATCTGGTAACCTCATATTGTGATGGTACTAAATTATCTTCCAAATGTGTGACATCCTTTACCTTCTTATGATTCTGTTGAGATGACGCACTTTCAGGCCTTGAAACTGGGGTAGCTCCTGGATTTAGAGTCAATGGAGATGTGCCACTCAGGCCTGAATGGGTGTGCACAGAATTCATGCTCTCAACGCTACTGTGTTCGACCATGACATCATTTTGTAATGACATAACAGCCTGCCAGAAACAGTTTTGATTTACATCTTTTGCCACTGTACCAGATGCAATTATATGCAAAGAACAATCTCTTGATTATTCATAATTTAAGAGGGGAGGGGGGAAGATTAAGGTATAAGTAAAGCACACGAAAGCCTGGATTATTATAAAAAATTACATAAATGAAAATGACTTGTCTTCTGTTGTTTCACAATCTGCTTACTTGCTCCATCATCAGAGCAATAAGTAATATGGATGACGCAGGCAGTAAGCAGCTCTGAAACATCGGTAAACTTCTACGAGACTACACAGCATGACATCCCAGACAAGAGACATCTTCATACTCACTCATACAAATTTGAAACCTCACAATAATAGATTCTCCCTCTTATCTTTACACACGAGACCATAAAAGCATATATGGAGAGAGATGGTAAAATAGCGTGTAACTTTATACCACAACCTACAGCCCACAAACCACATGGGACCTGCTGAATTTCTCTCCGTAGCTCACCACAGTCTTCACCTTTATCTTTTTGTATGGCCAGTGACTGCCTTCATATATGTAATAAGGTTCCAGTAAATTATAAATAAAAAATGTAACATCAAACACATATGTTCCATACTGTTATAAAGTACTGAACTGTCAGAGTCTCAATTACATATGTTAAAATTTCCTGGATGGAGACGTCAGGTATATTGTCAGTACCATGGCATTTTCCCATGTTTTTGGACAATTTAATTTTTAAAGTATTTGTTGCTTAGTAAGGGAGAGACATTCTTTTTCACGCTTTAATTTTGATCCCTGCCTGTTATTGTTCAGTGTGGGTAAATACTTTACATCACTTTACGAAAATGTGATTCTTTACTCACAGCAAACTTTGTGACATGTGTTCAACTGCACTGCCAACGAAACATTATTCAGTCATTCAAGAGATGGTCGGAGATAACTGATAACATCACTGGTGAATTTGAGTGTTTCATATGTGAGGAGAAATCCTAAAGCGAGGCATATTCTGAATCTGCTTCAACTCAACGTTACTGGCCTCACTACAACGGTAAATTTTAAGTCAGAATTCATAGCCAATCTCGTAACAAGAATCTTAACAAACAAATCCTTTAGGCAAATTATGCATTTCGAGTAAATATTTAAGAATCTTATGACATAAGAGTGCATATACACCGGGTAGACTAACCATCAAATTATTAATTAGAATATTTAGCATTTTTAATAGCTGCATAATTCCAATAGATAAGAATTAACTACATTTGGGTCACCTAGCTTAGCCCCCAATTAATATATTGGCTGTAAGCACTTCTATTCAGTACAATCCATGAAACTGAATAAATTAAACAATGCCAACATTTGGAATGGCTTTATCTTTAAAATGTCTAATACAATATATTAACTTGCAAGCACTAAATTTTACAACAATGATAAAATGAGACCAGAGGTTTAATTGTTAACCCCAATGTTGTTCAACAAAGGAATCAGATCCTACAACAATAACTTGGGATCACAATAGTACAAGAATGACCTAAGATGCAACATGGAATCACATTATGGCATGGTTGATATATGTAAATGGATAAAGGTATGGCGGTTAAAAGAAAAACTTGAGCCCTCTCCATCCCCCATCAGGACATGGACCGATCTATCTCAACAGTAACACAAAATATAAACCTCACTGTGGTCTATGAGATGGGGAAGTTGTTCCATGGTGCAGGATCTCCCTTCAAAAGTTAATAGTTGCTCAGCTGATCAACAATTCCCTGTTTTTATGGAGCCTGAAGGTTCATTATTGAGTTTAAAAAAGCAGATCACTGAATCCTATCATGAACCAGTTGAATCCAAACCACATCTTCACATACTATTTCCCTAACGTCCATTCTAATATTAAGATGGCTGTCTTCTGAGATGTTGAACCATGCTTTATGGTAGATATGAGGATCTCAGTGCACCCCTCATCAGGATTAAACGTTCATCTTCATACTTATAACAATGAAAACATGTAATTCCAGTATTCTAATATTATCCTACCATCTACATCTAGGCATCCCAAGTGGTCCCTTTCTTTAAGCCTACATGACTAAAATTTGTATGCATTTCACATTTCTCCCATGTCCTGCTCATCGTGTCCTCCTATCCCTAATGACATTAGATGAAGAGTGCAATTTATGAAGATCCTGCTACTGCCTGTCTCTCAGAGCCAACTATATTATTCTCAGCCCCTGTTCTCAAATACTTTAAAAAGCTAAGCTATTCCTGTGTGCTGAGACAGGAAGCTTCACACCCAAATCAAATAACAGTTAAAATCATAGTTTTATATGTTTTAGTCTTTTGAAAGAATACAGAAAGATAAAAACTCTGAACTGAACAGAAGTAAACATTATTTAATCAATAAATAAAATAAATACATTTTATTTGGTGTAATATCCCTGGAGTTAAGTAGCTTCAACAACTTCAAACATTAGATAAGTACTCGTAATAAATGAACTATGTGAAACAGAAATTTCTCTCACTGGTTTGCAAGTAGCCTGCTCTGTTCTCTCTGCTGAAGGTCCTCCACTGATTTCAGAGACAGCAGAAGGACCACCTGATACCACAATGGATGGTTTCATAGCCACATATTCAGGCTGGCTTCGGTATGAAGAACGACATGGTGGAGAGGTACCAGTACTCGAAAATGATAATCCATCTGCAGAAGGAAAACGTACCAATAACCACGATAGTAACACAGCTTAAAAATTACAAATTACTTGCAATAAAAAGAAAGAAAAAATTAATCTGTTAACTCATTAGCTAAGAAGACTAATACCATAGTAGACTGATTGATTCTTCATGACTTCAATGTTTTTTCTGCAAAGATTATGATGGAAAATGAAATAGAAAGATGATGATAAATGGTAAGTACAGAATAAATTGGAAGCTGGATGGTCAAAAGTACTATCCTGGCATATTCAGCTGCATTTGAGGCTCTTTTGCTTCCCTTCTGTGCTACAATCTCTTTTCAGAATATAGAATTCCCCACTTCCTCATGTTTCTTTGAAGATACAGACACTGGCAAATTCAGCTGCAGCTGTCACACTATAACATACTACTGCAACCTATCCTGATGAAATCTAATACAATTCACATTTTCATTACCTACAAGACTTTTTGTATATTTATGGTTGGAGCTCCACTCCCCCCCCAAATGACCTACATGGTGACGGCTATACTTTACTATGGTCTATTTATTGATGATTTCAGTATCTAGACTATACAGTATCAGATAAAACAATGACAGTGAGGAATGAAGTGGAACGAATGTGGAAGGAAATGCTCATGACTGGAGGGACTGTGGAAAAACATGAGAAACCTACCTCAGTCAGGACAGCTGGTTAACACATACAGATTTAAACCTGAGGTCTCCTGAATAAGAAGCAGAAGTGCTAACCACTCAACTATGACATTCAGTCCTATTCCTTTAAAACTATGTTAACATTATCCTTCCAGTTTAATATTCCTTTCAGGTTTTCCAGCTAAATTTTGAAAAAAATTACTTGTTTTTCCCAAGCATGCTACATATCCTACACATCTCATTCTCAATGATATCATCACCATAACAATATAGGATGAACAGTACAAATTGTGAAACTACCTGTTGTGCAATTAACCTTTTTTCCTTTAGCTGTCCCACTATACATCATGCAGGCACTTGAGGGGGGGGAGAAGTGGTATAGCTCCTACTCATTCTTAATCTCAGCACTAGATAGGGGTGAGTGGTGAGATGTGATTGTGTTGGTAACATTTCGCACCTGACTACAGGATGAAAACATACCAGACACACCAGCGGGAAAAAGCTAAAGGCATTCTAGACTTCAGCACTGGATAGAAGAAAATGTCAAGATATTCTGACTAGAAACCCAAGACTCTTTCTTCACCTGCACAGCCATGAAAATATCCAGTGCTTCCAGCACTGACTGTGGAGTAGAGAGATCTGCTCACACTGTCTCCACTGTTTGGATTGTTGCTTGCCCAAAAACCCCCATGCAAGTTCCATAGGCCATAATCCATCTGAAACAAACATCACTATTTTTAACAGAATGAGGGTATGAGATGCATAAACAAACTGTATTTCAAAAAAGCATTATATAGTACCCACCTATAAATGTCTATAATGACACCATTGCTCAAAAATAACTGACAACTGAGTAACACCGATGGTCCTGTAAAACTAACAACTGAACAATGTTTACCATTGTGCTAGAGAATTTCAGGATTACAACCTAGTTCCTCCATGTCCCTTTCTACTAACAACCTTAGTAATGCCTCTGATTTAAATACAGTGCAATTTGCTGCACTGTTCTTAACTGATTCTGTAAATCACAATCATTGCTATATAATCAACACAGCTTCAAATGTTTGATGTTAATTATACTGGAACGTTGTCTCAAGTTAACTCTTAAATATAAAAAAAAATTCACTGACAGATTTGGTGTCCTTAAATACAAAAAAAATTCACTGACAGATTTGGTGTGATTAACAGTTCAGGTTAGACTCTCCTATCTCTGAACATCTTTGCGATTTGCAAAGATGACACAGCACAACATCGCATCGAACTCTTAGTATCCAATTCCATAGAGAAATACCGAAATTAAAATATAAAAATTGTGTTGATACACTGATGCTGTTCTACTTGGAAATACACAAATCACAAATGCTCGATTACAAACGGCTGAAACTTGACCAGCAGTATTATTCACATGTCAACTGTGTCCCACAACCCTTTGATATATGAATTACATCAACGCTACTTTTGTCTCACAAATATTAATCACTGCCTTCTAGATTTTCTTGAGGAATGCTAATTGATCTAAAAATGTCATAATTCTAATTGTATTAAAGCTGTTGTACAAGCCACTTATAACTTTCGCACTGACATTTTAAAATTTCAGGCCAACTTCATGTACCAACACTCTCACTCACCTATCACGAAATTGCGGACGACATTTACCATGAACACCAAAATACATCGCAACACACCATGTTTATCACGATTATCCACCCATTGCCACGGATTATGAACATGTTTATTCCGACATCTGCTGTCGTTTGGTGCTAACTAGATAAAACTACCCTGAAGATGGAGAGGTTCGTAGTATGAATCACAAGCAAGGTCACACGGCCTCACAACACACAACGACAATCTATATACTGAATACCAGGAAACATTTAAATCTTATGTAGTTACACAAAGACACATCCCCTTTTCCTCTCCAACGATAGTATTTGGGAATTTTCCAGTGGATAGGTTTCGTGCAGTAGCTAACCTATTCACCGATTGAACCACAGATTATACCACAATGGTGATCCACAACATATGACATCACGCTTCTATTGTAATGCTTTATATCCGCATTGATGGATCAACTGCAAAAACGTAGATGGCTGTTATATGGATTGTGGCAGTACACTGACGTTTCCATCATATATGTGAACAGATGGAGAAAATCGAGAAGGGGGTTAGGAATGAGAGGCAACAAAGGAGCCAATGGGTGAAGGGGCGGACCACAGCCTGGACAAATTGATGGGTGATCTCACAAAATTAAATGTTTCTAAATACATTCAGTATCTACACAAATATGCAAACAGACAGACTGTAGTGCCCCTTATCCCGGATTGTGGGCCCTTTGACCCAGGAGTTGAGATGACACTGAACATAGCTGAGCAGACTGCCATTTATGTAGCTGGTTGATGGTGGGTAAGGCGTCGTTAAAGAGTGAAAGCTGAAGACCAGTCTTCAAACAATAAGTTTAATGAATAACAATAGAGCTACAGATGATAAGTACTTGTTTGAATCAGAAGACCCAGAGAAGTGATGCAAGTTTGTGGCTCAAAGTGGTGTAGTGACTGCCCACGAGAGAAGTTGTGGAAAATGTCCCGACTCAGCATCGAACACTGAGCTTATAAGGTATAACTGCGAAGGGAGGTGGAACTAACATCACCCCCTCACGTAGGTTCTGACCCTTACATTCACAGCGGTCTCTTTTGTTTTATCCTAACTGATTAGGGCAGAAACCCCTATCTCTCCACACTGTTTGGGGGCAGAAACTTATTATTTGTTGTGTTTGGATGTGACCACTGGGTGCCAGTCTGTCACCTGGTAGGATGCGTGGAGCGAGGCCCGACTAGTAAGCATCTGGGATGCTACAGGACAGACACAATGTCAGCTGTGTATTCAGTTCGTACACTTGTGTAAAGAATGAGCAACAAAATGTTCATGACATTTTACTTTATGATGGAAAAATTCAGAAAGGGGTACTAATGAGAATATTTGGACCTAAGATAGTTGAAGTGAGATAAATTTTTTTTGAAAATGTGGAGGTTTTAATTTTAGTCTTCACCAGATAATTTATTTGTACCAGACAACACAGTGCTACAACCAGAAGACAGCCATCTTCTTACTCACCCCTGCAAGGACCTCAAATCATACAACTTATTAACCATTTAAAGCCTGGAGGTAATGATATGCCTCACTTGCTTTAACAGTCAATAAATCTACATTTTTATTTGTGTTTTGAATGATTCTCGGTGTAAAACAAGGCTGATTTCCTTAAACAGTATTAACCAATTGACAGATGAAAGGGTGAAGTGTGACGTTATCTTTGCAGTACGGACTGAATTATTAAATACTATTTAGGTGAGCTTTGGCTTTAAGGGGTTATTATGGCGATAAAATCAAGGAGAGGACACTACACAGCTGCTAACAAAAAAACAGTTTTATATTTAGTATACAGTTGTGTAGCATTTTCCTTAAATAAGGAAAACTACCAAACCTGAGTAATGATAACTGGCCTCCTGGCATTCATTTGCCAACTACAAAACAATGGAGATTAAAATGAGCTTAGCATACTTATAAACATAGCCAACTTTCAAAATTGTGACTAAATATTCACTTCCTGACTGGTACTCAAGCCAAAATTTACCACTATGATAGTTTTATCTATAGAATCCCTGAGAACCCTTTGCATAAACAGAGTTGAAAGTAGGCATAGAGCATGTAATAGGAAGGACAAAAGGAGTTCTCATAGCCAGCACTAAAGACAGAACAGTGCTTTATATAGTCAGCATTAACAAAGACATCTAATTAGCCAGTCCCTAGTCAGATTGGTCGAGGGGGAGAGGTTAGACTAAGACAGGCACCCTGGTCCTCCAGGTTGGGGGTTGGTCGCAAGGCCAACAACCTCACACAGTAAAAAGGAAATGTTTCGATACCTCAATTAAAGCCTCGGACAGATGGACCTATCGGAGGACCAAATGGAAGAGGAGAATTGAGGAGGCCACAGACTGAATACGGACCCGACAGCCATAGAAGAATAGGCATGAGAACAGAGGTCTATAAGATATTGCCACACACACATGAAGAGGCATCTGTATAGCCAGTACTGTCTGAGCAGAGAACTGATTCGACCTTGGAGCTGTGACATCGTGCTGCACTAAATACACTGCCCCTCACTAAAAATTCTCCCACTGTAGGAACAATCTGGATGTTTGATAAATACAAGAAAGGTAGAACACTAATATTGCTTGAAACAGAGGGTTGCATAAAAGACACCTGCACTGCACACATTCATACCTTGTGCGCTATATACGATACAGCTGGTTTCAATCCTCACTTTCTATTCAGTGCTGTCAATAGGGCATACGAGAACAGGGACATAATGTTAATGTGTTGATGGAATGGATAGGTTGACAGGGGAATAAAAAAGTTGATAATGGGACAAATCAAAAGGTAAATATGTTATATGTATGGAGAGAATTTACATTTTATTTAAAATATAATGGAAAGGAATGATCAAAGTATTTTCTTTTTAATTTAATATGGGAAAAAGAGTGTGCATGATTTATGCAATGAAAGATGCCATTTTCATTCCTTAAATGTCTTACAATTCCAATTCCTTGGCCAGTCACTAAAACAAAGGGCTATGCTTGTCTTCTGGGACCTACAGATGAACAGGCAACTGTCCACCTCAAAATAAATGGGTTAATGAGTGTGGGAAACAGGACCAGGAATACAGAGCTTTGTATATGGGTACTCAACACACAGCAATGAGCCTTCCTTCCATAATTTATATTTCATTTACTGCACTTTACATGTGTGTTATCAATGTGTACAAGAACTATGAACTCTCTCTCATACCATTACATTTGTTTGCAATCACATTGTTCCTACCATACTGTCTCCTCAAATTTTTGTATTGCTTTTCAGTCTCTGCTATGTTGCATTTTTCACAAAAATTAACACAAAGTATCTGCTTCTGTAATGCACATCTGACTTTCTCTTCAGAGACAAATTACCCCAACCAACATTTTTCATCGAACAAACCATTCTGATTAATATTTTCCTTTTATAATACAAGACTGGAATAGAAGCACTCATTTAAAAAAAAAATGGAATGGAATAATTATACCTAAATTAACTAAATTATTACCACTGAATAAGTTTGGGCATACAATGACTTTTTTTTTAATTTTTAAATGTTTTATATATTTTTTGAACATTCATTTTAATGAATGAGTTTTAAGATTTAAAGTGTGTAATCATTCAGCACTTACAGGCAAAGGCCAGCGAAACGTCTTAAAAAAAAGTAAGGACTAAATAATTTGCTAAATACATAAAATTCTGCTTTACTCGAAAATTAATGAGTCTGATTTCCAGTTCACTCACCTTTCCAGAAAAGAGCAATAAAATAAGTATAGAGAATTTTACTTTATCCACCACATTAAAACAGTACATAAGACCTACCCTGCCAAAAAGTCAACTTTTTAAAGAGATTGTTCGCAAACCTTTTTAATCAGACATGGGAAAACATATTTAAACCACCTTACGACTTAGAAGTTGCAAATACCTGCAGAGTTACTCTACTTAATGGAAACAGTTTATCTTGCCACTTTTAACACTTGCCGAGATGGAAGCACGAGAAAAACAGAACACAAAGGCAACACATATTTAACATCAATTATCCTAAGAATAATTACCATGGTTATATAAATAATATTTAAAAATTAATATATCCCATACAAAATAATAACTAAAATAATTCAATCCTTGAACACTTAAAACATGCAGAACTGAATCTTTACATCAAAGTACCTGCGTCTATTTTAATAAATATACAGGCCTAGGCATCTAGATAATCTGTACAGCACATGCATGCTCTTTTTAAGTACTAACAAAGACAAATGGGTATAATTTCTCACAGTACAGTTACAAGTATTCATGATAATCACAAGTACATTATTTAGAACAATTTTAATGTTTATTACATATCAATATTTTAAAAAATAAGAATGAAAACTTAAACAGTACATGGGAAAAGGATGTAATCCTAGCATAAAACACATATCTCATGTGAATCAGATATAAGAAAGTTTTTAACAGCACGTTTCCTGCTTGTCAACATCTAAAGATGGCAGTCTTCTGGGTTGTTGCGCCATGTAGTCTGGTATAAGTTTACCAACATTTCAGAGGTCCTTGCTGCCTCCGTCATCAGGCTACTCACAATCCTGATGAGTGAGGTAGCAAGGGCCTCTGAAACAACGGCAAAGTTCCACCAGACTACATGGCGCAACAAACCAGAAGACAGCCATCTTCAGACTCGCCGCTGTAAAAAACCTCAAATCCTACTTATGTCAACATCTATTACAAGAACAAACATGTATAAATATTCCATTAGCTTATCAATACAAATATACACATTTTTAAAATGAATTTACTACCTAACGAACAGAATTTAAAACAAAGCTGAAACATTAAAAGGATGTGCAACGATCAAACATTTTCCACAAACTTGTGACTGTAATAGTTACAATATTAAAACGCAATTCCCAGAAGAAATGATGCTCTTATGAAATATAAGACAATTAAGCATGTCTATTGTAGAATGAATTTTCTTTGAGTTCAGAACTAACAATTTCAATGTTTGGAGATCAAAAACAGCCTTTGAAGCCAGTATTTGCACTCAGCCATATGTAACAATTTTCTTCGTTAGAAGTGGCAAGAGAAGAATAAATCCATTGTTTGGCACGACATCTGAAAGGGTACTTCTGTCTGCTGAGACTGAGTCTTTGCTACTCGATGGAACACAGCATGTACATAATGCCAGTGTCGGTGTTACCAGGTATCAGCTGGTGCCCTGGCGGCAATGTAGTGAACCCCATGTACATGAATGTTCGCACTATCAGTGCTGCAAAGAAATTTTTTTATTAATAACAATCAGCAAAAATAGTAACAGAATGAAGATACGATATAATTCAGAAATTTTCTAAACCTCAACATTCAGTTTAGCCACATTTCATAGCATACTATAAAATTATTTTAAAAATGGAAACTGCTGATATTCCCAAATAATGAAATTGGTAAGATGACACTAACAGTAAGCTACTTATAGGTATAAATTATATTTATTAATTTTCATTCTGGGAGAAATTCTTGAGTAATAAATAACCAAAGTACACACAATATTTTGCTACAGTAAGTGCTATAAATGTGATACAATTTTTCTCATACATCTTTTCTCTCAAATAAATATTATTAATTCATCTTCAAATATTACTGTTGGTATGCACTTTCACGTAAATACTGCAGAAGCAAAGGGATTGCAGGAGGAGGAAGTATAATCTGCTGCAGTTTGACTTCTTCTGATTTTGAATATGAAAACATCCTTTGTGTACAGACATCTGTCATTGTCGTGAATTTCATCATGCATGTGAAGTGAGATATCCTCTCACAACGTAGAGCTCTTCTCTGGGATGGGAAAAAATAGGAATTAACTGAATTAAACAAGAAACTTTCAAATAAATGCATCTGAATGATTTGACTGCCAGAGCCATTAGCAGTGTATCAGGAGAGACTGGGTGAGAAAACAGCCGCTGAATTTTTGTTTACGAAACATCTCGTATCATGCTCGTAAGGTTCTTTTACATGCCGTAAATCCACAACGTGGGACTGCCGGCTTTACCTCCCCTCCAAAGGAAGTTGTGCTTATCACCCTTAAAAATCCATCGACCTCGGTCAGGTCTGAACCCACGAGCCTTGGGTCCAGTGGTGAGCATGCTAAACACTAGTCCACCGAGGGCAACTGGTTATGAACCTTACGGTTCTCTAAGCCATCTAGCTAGTTAGTTACCTCAAACAAATGCTTGTCATTACAGTAAACAACTTCATAATTTTCTTAATATTTTCAACTGACACATGGAAACCTTGTCCAAACAGGCATCACTACTATAATACTAAATTTATCAAGTAAAGTGAAAAGTACCTCTGTCATTGCAATCTTTCTTGAAGCACACAATGACGTCGGTGCACTTGAGTACTTCTTCTGCATATTCCAACATAGCCAAAAACCTGCCAACAAACAATTCCATCCACATTTTCCATAAATTCACAAAGTACAATGGTACATTTAATTTCTGTTGCCTTTCCTCATACAAACTGTTTCTCTCAGTTAAGCAGTTTCAATGGTCCCGCACTAATTATGCCAATATTAAATTTTCCTCTTTTAGAGGAATCCTCACTTTAGTCTTTAATAAACTGTTTACTAAAAATGTTTAATGTTCATACCAAAAATACTTCCACTGAACATCTGCATTTTCTGCTAAGACTTAACAAGAATAATCTCTTACGACGGAGACGGCAGTGTATCCGGCCTTTATATAAACTTGCGATAATCAGACTTCTGAGAAGCGGACACTCATCGGCCTTAGCAAGGGCCTCTGAAACAACGGCAAAGTTCCACCAGACTACATGGCGCAACAACCCAGAAGACAGCCATCTTCAGACTCGCCGCTGTAAAAAACCTCAAATCCTACTTATGTCAACATCTATTACAAGAACAAACATGTATAAATATTCCATTAGCTTATCAATACAAATATACACATTTTTAAAATGAATTTACTACCTAACGAACAGAATTTAAAACAAAGCTGAAACATTAAAAGGATGTGCAACGATCAAACATTTTCCACAAACTTGTGACTGTAATAGTTACAATATTAAAACGCAATTCCCAGAAGAAATGATGCTCTTATGAAATATAAGACAATTAAGCATGTCTATTGTAGAATGAATTTTCTTTGAGTTCAGAACTAACAATTTCAATGTTTGGAGATCAAAAACAGCCTTTGAAGCCAGTATTTGCACTCAGCCATATGTAACAATTTTCTTCGTTAGAAGTGGCAAGAGAAGAATAAATCCATTGTTTGGCACGACATCTGAAAGGGTACTTCTGTCTGCTGAGACTGAGTCTTTGCTACTCGATGGAACACAGCATGTACATAATGCCAGTGTCGGTGTTACCAGGTATCAGCTGGTGCCCTGGCGGCAATGTAGTGAACCCCATGTACATGAATGTTCGCACTATCAGTGCTGCAAAGAAATTTTTTTATTAATAACAATCAGCAAAAATAGTAACAGAATGAAGATACGATATAATTCAGAAATTTTCTAAACCTCAACATTCAGTTTAGCCACATTTCATAGCATACTATAAAATTATTTTAAAAATGGAAACTGCTGATATTCCCAAATAATGAAATTGGTAAGATGACACTAACAGTAAGCTACTTATAGGCATAAATTATATTTATTAATTTTCATTATGGGAGAAATTCTTGAGTAATAAATAACCAAAGTACACACAATATTTTGCTACAGTAAGTGCTATAAATGTGATACAATTTTTCTCATACATCTTTTCTCTCAAATAAATATTATTAATTCATCTTCAAATATTACTGTTGGTATGCACTTTCACGTAAATACTGCAGAAGCAAAGGGATTGCAGGAGGAGGAGGAAGTATAATCTGCTGCAGTTTGACTTCTTCTGATTTTGAATATGAAAACATCCTTTGTGTACAGACATCTGTCATTGTCGTGAATTTCATCATGCATGTGAAGTGAGATATCCTCTCACAACGTAGAGCTCTTCTCTGGGATGGGAAAAAATAGGAATTAACTGAATTAAACAAGAAACTTTCAAATAAATGCATCTGAATGATTTGACTGCCAGAGCCATTAGCAGTGTATCAGGAGAGACTGGGTGAGAAAACAGCCGCTGAATTTTTGTTTACGAAACATCTCGTATCATGCTCGTAAGGTTCTTTTACATGCCGTAAATCCACAACGTGGGACTGCCGGCTTTACCTCCCCTCCAAAGGAAGTTGTGCTATGTGTTGTGTTTATCAACCTTAAAAATCCATCGACACACTAGTCCACTGAACCCACGAGCCTTGGGTCCAGTGGTGAGCATGCTAAACACTAGTCCACCGAGGGCAACTGGTTATGAACCTTACGGTTCTCTAAGCCATCTAGCTAGTTAGTTACCTCAAACAAATGCTTGTCATTACAGTAAACAACTTCATAATTTTCTTAATATTTTCAACTGACACATGGAAACCTTGTCCAAACAGGCATCACTACTATAATACTAAATTTATCAAGTAAAGTGAAAAGTACCTCTGTCATTGCAATCTTTCTTGAAGCACACAATGACGTCGGTGCACTTGAGTACTTCTTCTGCATATTCCAACATAGCCAAAAACCTGCCAACAAACAATTCCATCCACATTTTCCATAAATTCACAAAGTACAATGGTACATTTAATTTCTGTTGCCTTTCCTCATACAAACTGTTTCTCTCAGTTAAGCAGTTTCAATGGTCCCGCACTAATTATGCCAATATTAAATTTTCCTCTTTTAGAGGAATCCTCACTTTAGTCTTTAATAAACTGTTTACTAAAAATGTTTAATGTTCATACCAAAAATACTTCCACTGAACATCTGCATTTTCTGCTAAGACTTAACAAGAATAATCTCTTACGACGGAGACGGCAGTGTATCCGGCCTTTATATAAACTTGCGATAATCAGACTTCTGAGAAGCGGACACTCATCGGCCTCATACATGTCTGGTTTCTGCTTGGGAAATTTAATATTGAAGTCAAACTCACCCCTGCTTGGAGCCCTCAGACAGAAAACTTGATGGGAACTGGATGTAAAGTCGGTGTTGCCATAGCACCGTTTCCAAAATCACCTCAATGTTCTCAGTAAGTCGAAGCACGAACGTCAAGCGCAGAGATGGATGCTGCCCAGCTGCTTCCAGTAACTCCTTCTCCTATAAGTCAAAACACTCTGAAATAAGTTCCCTTCAGTAAAATTTAATATAATAAACCATTAGAACCTGTAAGTGAATTATAATCACATTTATGAATACACTTTCATCCAGTCTTCTATACCAATCCTTAAGAGCTTACTGGATCTAGATATTTCAATCCTCCTCCTCGCCCTCTTTTCTTATGGATATATCATAAAAACCCACATGCAATGGTTAACAATAATATCCAAAAAAGCCCAAAATCCCTCAGCAGCAATGATCACCATACCATGACAATGGTAATAACAACGAACACATTCTTAAATATAATTATCCTGGAAGACCAAAAATCCCATAACAATAGCAAGTGATAAATAACCAACCAAATCAACCTAACCTAATCTAACCTAAATAACAAACACAGCTTATTGTACAGAAGAATGAATGAGGACTGATGATATAGGCACGTATCTGGAAGTACAGCATACATACCGTAACAATTTTGTTGTAGTTGCGTGGTTGGCTCACAGAGAGCTCCTTTGGTTTCCCCACGCCGCTGCCCTCTGTGCTAATTGGTGTCACACTACATGCGGCATGGGGGGCATCAGGACCACCACTGAGGCCCTACCCCCAGTGTTATACAGAACTGAGGGCATGCCTCAATCTGTTCACTGCAAAAGAAAAAGAACCATGCTGACATTTCCAGCAATAACGACAGAAAGCAAATCCTTGAACAGGAATTACAGCATATTTTCAGATTGACAAACACTCATAATGACGACATAGGGAGGGAGCGGTATAAATGTCAGAAAAATTAAAGAACTATTAATCTCTACAAGGAGAAGTGTTCTCTGGTATCTGAGTCAGTAGCAGTACTATATATAGGTCAAGCATCTAATCCAGTGGTACCAACATTATGCAACACTGTTCCCTGAAATACCACGGTTCCATAAGAAAATCTCAGTACAAAGTAGAATTTCTGGAACAACCTTTAAACGCTTTCAAGTTCTATGTCACACTGACATTTTTGAAAATAACCTCTGGTCAAATATCGGAGACAGTCTAAAAGTCCTGACCATCTTAAAATAAATAACATTCCAAAACAATTTATTGGAACTACAACTATATTCCACGTACTAAACATACAGAATGCATAGTCAAGATACCCTGTAGCATGTTCGTAATCCAATACAATAAAGCGAATGAAGTAAATTATGCAAATGGTACTAATTCAGAGAAAGTGTTTTTCTCAGATACTCTACATTTCATTGGCATTAACTGCATGTGCCACTTTACGACTATAGTTTAGTACATGTTACAATATTAACAGCTGATTTACATTAATTTAATAATACCACATCAAACGAAGTTGTTCAACCCAATTACAAAGTCACAGGGAAAATTCTAATAACGGAGATACCACAGTCACTATCACCACCATATTAAGATACTGGAAATCTTCCTGTCCCAGCGTCAGCACAGAAATCTTGCAATACAAAATGTAACATCAGTGCAAAACTCTCTCCTACATGACACATTCGTATTAAGGAACTACACATGGAAAAGGGAAAAGTGGTTAGCATCTGTCGACATAGTAACGGTATAAAGGAAGAATACTTTCAGTAAACTTAACAGAATTCGTAACATGTTAACAAATGAATCGCTGAATCCAGGGATCTGAAGCTGCGTGGAAACACGTATAACTTACAACTCAGAACAGCAGCTTGAAGGCATGTCTTGATTGCCAAGTTACTCTGAATCAACTAAAGACTCTACCAATGCCTTGTTTACCTGTCTGTATGGACCAAATAGTGACCACGCAACTTTGCCAGCTGGTCTAATGAAACACATAAATAGAGCACAGGGGCACTGTACTGTTACAAAACACGACAGGTTAATTTCACTTAGCACCTGCCCCTGTGCGTATCAAAACAAGGATGCACTAAAAAAAACAGATTTCTGTGAAAGTACAGATAATCTGTATCACATGAAGGCCAGTTTGATGTTTGTACTGCTTGCGCTCCTAGTGAGCACTACGTAATTACACAATCTTCCAAGAAATGATAATGGCACATAATTAGTCTGTTATTATCCCATAAACTGTACATTGTGTGAATCTCTTGCCAGATTTACTTATGTGGTTACATCCTGCATGTTTCGTTTACATTTCTGCAACCTATAATGCATACTCAACCCATCTTAATTCTCTGTTTTATACATTCTAAAATAAATTATGAGCGAACTACAACAATTCAGTGAGAACTACTGTAACATAAACAACTCTTCAAGATGATTAAAAAAATTATACCTCCAAACACGAGGAAAGTAGAAATCATTAATTCATCAAACTTCTTTTAAAATCATACCTCTCTCAACAGAACAGAACTATAAACAATTCTGAATGGTAACTGTGCAAAACTTGGGGCACGGTAAAACTTTTTGATTACACGTATTTCAACATATCCATTACATTGAAAGTTCTGTACTCTTAAAATTTCCTCATAATTTGACCTAAGTATAACAGCCTGCTCTATGGTGGAAAATTTCCCTATCTCTACAACTACGACATCTTGGTACTATGCCAAGAACGCACATGCCACAATTTATGGCACTCCCTACAAACCTATTTTGTTCCAGCAACAAAAACAAATCAATAGTAATGGCAATGAGTTATGAAGTCTGTTGGACTATAATTCTACAAAAATTGTTGTCCTTCACTTCTGCTCCTTTACCACACATGGTAATTTGCCAGCTTCTATTCTAGGTCAGGCCATAAGAACTGTACGTAGTTCGTATATTACATACCCACATAATTAATTCAGCAACAGAAGATAGAAGGCAAAATTTTGTACATTATCAGACATTTTAGTGAAATCAGAATTGTTCCGACATATACTGACATGAGATCTGACCATAACCATGCAAACTTCAGAATAATATTCATCAAGTTTTGCTGCACATGACAGCGTGTATGCACACGAACAGACGTTCATCAAGAAGCAGTTAGTTTGGGGCTTAAGAGTATCCTAACCTAACACTTGGAACTAGCAATTTTTTACACTAGCATTTCAATCAACACTGCAGACCTAATATCTTTAAAAAATACTAAATCCCCAAATACTGTGGTCTAAAATAATACAGAAACTGACCCAAATCTAAAATCTCATTATCCATATCAATGGCATAGATCAGAGTGGTCCAACTGGCGGCCCGCAACCACTTGTAACCTGGCCCACACGAGTATTTTATGTTTTACTAGTCAGTACAACCAATTTATTAAAAATAATTATTGCAGGAGCAAATTTAAAATAATATCTCAATAGCAGTTTGTGCATATTTAAATAAAATTTGTATTTCAGCATATGCAATGGTAATTTGTCATTTCTGAAAAAGTATTATTAAAGATAAGGGCAATGCAAAAATAGTGTCAGTAGGAGTTTCTTGGCCCTTGGGTCCAACAGGAAAACTATTCTTGCCCAAGCGAGGAAAAAAAGTTCGACCACCCTGGCTTAGGGTATAGAAATGGTAATGCTTTATTGAAATCAAAACAATTTTCTTCAGGCCTGCAGAATGAGGCATACAAATGAAGCTACCACATTTCAAGCACGCAAAGTGATGCTGTCAAAGTTCAGTATCCCAGTAACCCAACAGTTCAAACTTTCCCCCCAACTGACAAATAAAATGATCATGTCTATTATTGTGGGTAAACAAAGCCCTAGACTCACATTCATAAAATAGCAAAATATTCTTTATTAGCACATACTGCATAAACTAACAGGCAGGCAAGACTTGTGTACCATAATACCAGTAGCATTAATATCTGAACACTACATTACATACACAAAGAAATACAAAAAGAAAATTCTTTCACCGTACATTACTTCATATTACCAAAAAGATCACAGACAGAAGAACGTAATTAGTTGTGCAAACAAACATAGAAGTACATTTCACGGCCAGCTATAAAAAGGATTTGGGTTGGCAACAGCTGCAACAGCTGATGTTTACAAACTCTGCCTCGCCAAGTCATGGATGTCGTCTAAGTAAGACGCACAAAGAGACAGACAAACATATGAATACCTTACACAGTAGGAGCACATTCCATAATCACTTGATCATCAGCCAAAGAATCTCCACCACATACAAAATTTGGCCAAGATTGTTATAGTTAAGACAGCGTGGAACCTGCCAGAATCTCAAAATAGTATCCCTGCGCATTGTGTGTTTATATACAGACATAAGAATACAAAGCATTTCCTTGTTAAAACTGTTCATCATTGAAGTCACGTAATTTTTAAAACAAGACTGAACTTACGATTATGAGGTTTTTTCAGATAAAAAAGTCAGAGCAACCTGAGAATATGTAAAATCTCTTCTATGATAGGTTGTCCATGGACAACATCTGACATTAGAACAACTCAAATATAAAGCAACAACTATATAATCATTACACTGTGACATACGGCTTGTATCTGTCTCATTTCTCTTCTTTCGTACAAAATTCATGAACAGAGCTAAATGAAATTTTATATTGCAAATCAATCAATTTATTTACGTGTTTGTCAACAGCAAGAAGCCATCAAAATAATACTTATAGACCAAAATACAGTCAGACCTACAGGTTTACTAAAAGATGCATTTTAAAAGATGTTTTTAGATTGAGAAATCTCATACAAAAATTGAATTAGGTAATTATTCTGTCACAGTTATTTACTTTAAACAGTATGTACACAAGTGTGCTGCTATTTCTGTCCTGCAGTTACTGGCGGCCACCTTACATCAGCAGGTTGGCCACCTTTAAACCATCCATTCATAAAAGATCCTTCTAGCATAATTTTTACCATAAGAAACATAAGTGTGCCACAGAATTTAGTTGTATATTTCTATTGTGCTATGAATTAACAGCATCAGCCCCAATATGACACATACAAAGACTTTCGAGTCATTTATGTAAAATAAATATTATACAGTGATACTGTGAATATTGATTAAATACTCTTCCAAATAAAGACGGTAATTTTCCACTGTATGATGGCTTCCACAAGTGAACTTAAGTAAATAAAAATATCACTGATCGGAGTTTGTACCCCTGATATCTTAAATACATCCATTAACAGTCAGAAGTTGCCAAACAATAATGGAATAACAAACAAATGCTGAATAATGATTATAGTATTTGTAAACACTTTGAAATTAGTTCTAATAAGTCACATGAGCTCACCCACCCCAATCTTAATCAAACTTCAATGGAAATTCAGTTGTTTCAGTGACAAACAAAACATATGAACAAATGGACAAGGCCTCCCCTACATGCACTGTGCAAGGAACTTACAAACACAGGTAAACTACACCATAATAAAACGATGTCAACACGATAAATATACAAAACTAGATAATGCCTGTTAATATGTCATTGCATCATGGCAAATCCTGTTTATTGCAGTAGAATCTATTAATAAACTTCTTTATAAGAACCTCTGATTTCTGAATGGCAGACTAATTTAGTCACTGGTGAAGGGTAAAGTTAATTCCGTAATCACACAATTTACCGACCTACAAGTGCTATTAATTTCAATCAAGAGGGGCTTTTTCTACGGGAGTTCAACGAACCAGCCAAATGAAGGTCGTTGCCAATGGGAGGAAATGGAACATGTACGACGCAACGAAGAAA